ATGACATACGATGACATGTGCAGGTGTTGTGGTGGTGTCCCAATTCTTAGGGGTAAATTTTTAAGCACTTCCCCTTAACCCTCGGTTTTAAGGGCCAAGGTGAAGTGGAAGGGGAAGGGGTAGGGGTACAAAAATAGAATTGGGATTGGGTCTAATCAACTTTAAGATGAAACTATGATAAGGTAGTAAAAGTACACACTCAAAAGATTGTCATTTTTTTTGTTTTTACATAGACTACATCCTATCAGTCCATAGTGTAAACAGGTGAACAGGGAGACAGTGTAAGTTTGATTGCCCTCCAAGCTGATAGGCCAGATAATGGTGCAGCTTGCTGTGATTGGTCGACCAGTAATAGCATGTGTCTAAAGCCATTTCCCATGTCTGAATTTCAGCACATGTAGAGACAGAGACAGGCTGCATCTGAAACCGCCTACTACTCAGTAGGTACTGCATTTGAATTTAAACGTACTACTTTAACTAATTTAAACGTACAAAAAAAGGACTTCCTGCTTTGCTACTGTTCGGACATCTTTACCTACTGCTCCGCTCTTTGCACTCTTGCAATCTTATACCCTAATTTTAACTTGAGCCTATCAGCACAGTGCTTAAAAAACACGGCTTGAAGATCAGCATTTATTCTACAAACATTCTGAAATATAGCTTTACTAACAAGAGGGGAATTACCGTCTAAACAATCCTCCCGCTACCAACTACCAGCTGCTTACATTCCGGAGACGGGAAAACACGGCTGTGAAAATGCCTCTGGATCGGATTAATTCAGATTCTCACTGCTGTACAAACTGCCACAAACTTCTACAAAGGATTGCAGTTCTTAAAACGAAGTTGCTTGCGATCCGACCAGAACTTCAGCTTTATTGTGGATCCTCTCAGCACACAGCTGGTGAGTCCCATAAATCTGTTCCTGCTACTGTTTTGAGCACAGAAAAACAGAATAAAACTGTTGAAAATGAGCATTGGCATAAACAAGGTGCGAGACCAAAGGGTACTCGTGGGGTCAGATCATACGCTGTCGCATTAGCGTCTTCTACCCCAAATACAGCTCAGACTCAAATACAGCTTCAGAACAGATATGAAGTTTTGAGTAATATGGGTGAAGAATCCCCAGATGCAGTCAGACAGAGATCGCACGTTTCAGCAACTAATCCTGCATGGAACAGAGGCTCAAGGCCGACTAGACAGCGGCATTCTGCTCTGATCACACCTGAGATAAGAACACTAGTCGTAGGAGATTCAATAATCAAGAATTTCAGGAGCAGATTTACAATGACATACTGCTTTCCTCATGCAACAGTTTCTGATGTAAATAATGAACTTGAAGAAATTCTGAAAAAGACTGCAAAACAGATTATCATCCATGTGGGGAAGAATGATATTCGGAAGGAACAGTCAGAACTGCTCAAGAAAGATTTCTGTGAGCTCTTGGAAACAGTTGAAAGATTGAAGGTTCAGCCGTTCATAAGTGGACCACTCCCTGCAAGAGGGACAAACATGTTTTCACGGCTTCTTGGTCTAAATGTATGCCTTGCCTTACTCGGCCGTTAGAAAAAAACGTTCTATACAATATGAATGTGAAAAGTATGAATGGAACTCAAACATACTACATCTGCCATATTGTCATGGTCAAGTGACCTACCTGCGTCAGTTGCGTCGCTTCACTCCCATGAATTTTTTCTCGGGCATGATGGGATAGCGCAGCATGCATAGGATGCGCACTTCAGAATCTCGCCAGAAGTAGTAAGTCATCCGGGTACTTCTCGCATACTTCTTTTCGAATTTTATGAATTTGGACATACTACTCTGCTCGCATACGGATTTAAGTGTACTATATAGTATGGAACCATGCGGTTTTGGACACAGCCACAGTAACTATATTTAAGTTTTACTGCATCAGTTTGAGTCTGAATCATTCTCTACAGGAAGTACATGAAGGGAAGATTTACTTTATCAGATCAGAAAAAAAGTGCTGTCAAAAATGTCTGCAACACAAGCCAAACTCAAACAGGCCTCAGGCAACATAATCTGGAAAAATCTGAAACAGCATTTTTATCTAAAAACACTCAACATTCATGTTTTTATTTCAATTAATTCCCAAAAGTGGGGCATCCATCATTTCGTTTTCATGCATTTATATACTTTCCAGCTTTTTGAATTCGTCAAGGAAAAAAGCATCAAGTTTTTTAAATGAACTAACAGTGAGGTGGACACATTGTATAAATTATAAAGAGTATAAAGTTGTGAAAGCAAGCGAGAATATAGACTGGGAGACGTGCCAAAGCAACAGCTCTGAGTAAACATTTAGTGACATTTGAAGAATCTGAAGCATTCTGACATTAATCTTTAACCATGGTGTCAAATGGAGAGCATCCAAAACAACTGCTTTACCATGTCCTCCTCCATTGTATCTGAATTGGTCACATGACAAAAATGCATCATTTTCCACAATGTAACGAAAACACTGTCTCAGTGTGACGAAAACGCAGAGAAAAAGATGTTTTTAAATGAAAATGTATTAGTGTAGACATGGCCCCAGATACAACTACAGCGTTTCAGAATCAGTACAAACAGACAGCTGATGGAAACCCCCAGACGATCATTATGCAAATGTGTTACGAAAACTGCATATCATTGCGCAGGAAATAAAACTAAATTACTGACTCATTTCAGGGATTTCAAAACCAATTCTTTTAGTAACTTCATGTATCCTGCATTTTGATCTGCGTAACTTTGCATTTGCATTCATAAACTGCTACCAGTGGGTAATTTGAGCCGGATCTTGCCGGATTCTGTTCCGGAAAATGTTGTGTTTTGCATTTCAGTATTTGTTTTAATGGATCTAGGATTAACTTGGGCATGGTGAATACCTACGTGTTTGTGTGTGTGTTTGTGTGTGTGTGTGTGTGTGTCATGACGGTAGTCTGCGAAATGCGAAAGTTAAAGCAAAAGTCACGTTTAACTATTGGCCCTCAACAATATTTTCAGCCAAACGGCTTTCTTATGTTTACAATTATTCTCATTGGTTGGTAAAAGTTTTGCGTAAAGTGAGCAGCGAAATAATGACATAGTGGCCTACTTAAATAATATTTGTATTTTTAAAACAGAAAAGAGGAAAAGAGGCTGTCACACATATTTTCATTATCAGTAAATCTGAGCATGTGCCTGATTAAATGAAATCTTGAGAAGATGAAACTGCACGATTGGATCAGGATAGCAGGAGACAGAAGCAAAGAGATCTCAAGTCAGCCAGAAAACATGACAGAAGAGATAACCGTGGGCTCTTCGTGAAGATTAGAGTGAGTCACGTTATATGGCATAAAATAATTAAAACCGTTCAGCAATGGGATGCTCTTTTTTTGCATTATCACCGTTTATTGATGTCTTGTTCTAAAGAAAATTTAATTGTGTGGTGGACGTCAGTCACGGTAACTTTTATTTCCTGGTTTTGCTCTGGAAATTATTTGTTTACAAATTAAGCACTGACTGCTACACACTACATGTAAGAAGCTGAAAAAAATCTGTAAGAGCACAATGAAAATAATAATTTAAAAAAAGTATTAAAAATGTAAATTACAAAGCAAAACATTATGAAACAAACCAAGCATATGTCAAATAGACGTCTAAACATTGATGTCTAGGCTAAAACAAGGCTGAATTTGGTCTGTCATGCTGAAAATCTGAAAATCAAAAAGACAGACTTCACATGTGTAATAATTCATTCCTGTGTATTTAATGACTAGTCTATTTTGGACTATTGTTAGACGTCTATTAGATTTTCACTGACAGACCGCATTATTTCGTTAAGTCTTCTTTAGATAAACAATTAATCCCTGTTAGTTAATCCACTGAAAAAAAAAATGTTTTTGGTGATCTTCAAAGTAAAAATCTGACCATTTGCTACAGTGTCTGTCCTTTCTGTTTGCCTCAGTTTAAAGGCTTTGGTTACAATATTTTTAACCACATCCCATTTACCGTTGATTTGCTATGAGCAAATGATGCACAAAAAGCAGACCCTGCCTCTACTCAGTATCCTGCTTCAGTTGGAAGTACATCAACATACTCAAATAAAAGTCTCAGCAACTTTCCATTCACGTCAATTTTAACAGAGCTTTAACCGAGCAGTGCATAAAACTGCACATTTTGCTGATCTGTCTGAAAAGAGACATAGAGGATATCCAGAAGAAACACTGTTTGCGCCGAGCACGCAGTATTCTGAAGGAGACCTCTCACCCCGCTCACAGACAGTTTTCTCTCCTGCCCTCCGGCAGGCGCTTCAGGCTCCCCCGGACAAAAACCAGCAGACTGAGGAACAGCTTTTTCCCCAGAGCTGTCTCCCTCCTGAACTCTGCCCCACACTGACTCTTTTGCCCCCCAAATACACCCCCGGCTCTCCTCTAACTTAAACTCCTCGCAATAACTGCACTGTTTAACATTTGCACGTTTAAAATTTGCACATTTACTGCACCGCATTGAACTGTTTACTTATTGCACTGTACATAACCACTGCATATGGACATTTGTAATTATGTACACACCCACTATACATATACACTTGTAATCATGCTTATTTATCTGCATACTACTGATTATTAATAGCAACCTGTACATATATTCATATATTGTAACATATACACTTGTAATCATGTTTATCTATCTGCACACAACTGATTATCAACCTGCACATATATTCATATATTGTAAATCTGTTCATAGCTTATCCAACCTGTATATAATGTTCATAGAACATCCATCTGTAAATATCACTATAGTTTTCTAAAACTGTACTTTATAACTTGTTCCTGTATCTTGCACTTGCTGCTATTGCACTGCTGGTTAGACCTAAAATGCATTGCGTTGCATTGTACTTGTACATGTGTAATGACAATAAAGTTGAATCTAATCTAATCTAATCTAAAAGAGATCATGAAAACTTGACTAAAGCTGTTTTAGATCTGTTTATTCTGGGCTGTTTGTCACTGGCTTTGTCAGGACTCACCTGAATGGGGCATCATATGGGTGGCGTTTGCTTTGGCCTGTTGCAGAGCTGAAACCCAGCGCTGGCACTCGCCCTCTGAATAGGCCTTGAGGTGGTAGCTCCGCCCACCACTCGTCAACACAAAGTGACAGGTGTCGCCCACTTCTATGTGCACCGTCGCCAAGGTAATTGTGCCACGGCAGGTGTGTGCCATCTCCGCTTGAGTCCTGAAGATAGATTTGCATAAACACAAACACAAAGCCACACAGGTTAAAGGAGCAACTAGAGGAAATAAATCCTATCAGATTCTCACACGCACACACACACACACATAAACACACAATGTGACTGACATATGAGCCATCATTGTGTGCGCTCAAGATGAGGAAAATAACTGATTATATTAAATTATATGAAATTTGTATAAAAAAATAGGAGTAAATGTATTAAAGTGTTTACATTTATTAATATATGAGATGCTTTATTTAAAGGGACATAAATTGAGTATAATAAAAGCACTTTAAATCACAAGAAAAGCAACAATCTTGGTTATTTTTGCATTGTGCATTTTTTTTTTAATTCTTAATTTTTCTTTAATTAACTATTTGTATTAACCCTTGTGCACTGGTCAAATTTACTACCATTTTGATATGTTAGGGATGAAAACATCCACTGAATTAAACTGCTGTAAAAATGCATCAGATAAATATTGTTTCCTTATTTTTGCATATATCTGTTAATCAACTTCAATCCTGTCCAATGTCACTGATGGGGTGAAAAAAACACAATTTTCAACATAAAAAGTGATTGTGGATTGGATTTTTTAAACCTTTTATCACAGTCTTGAACTTGTGAACAATTAGTAACATCATTGGCTTTGATGCATTGTCTGATTTTTTTACTGTAGCTGTTTTTGCTCCATTGACTTCCATTGTAACCACATTTGAGGGTTCATAAATACACCATCTTTGTTTTTAGTTACTGCATGTAGTTCTAAAGGCTGAGATGCATATTTTGATTTGCTCAGACACATCAGGGTAAGTGCGTAAAGGTCACTCTCACACAGTCACATACACACTTTAATTTGCTGTTATACTCCAATCCAGAACTAAGCTTTTTGTGCACAGGCCTATCTAAAGCATTAATGGTGCGAACTGATGATCAACAGTAAAAAGTGCTAATTTTACCTCTTTCCATCAGAGAAAACCACCAACAATCAAAAATGCATGATTATATGGTGTCATGGTTTGGCAATTAAAAAAAATGCGGTTATAATGAAAGTCCATGGGACAAAAACAGCCACCAACAGTAAATTAGGGAGAAAAAGCTTTAAATCAATCAAATACAATGCATCAAAGGCAATGATGTTTCACATGTCCAATACTTTGATAAAAGGTTAAAAAAAATCCAGTCCATAATTATGTGTAAAATATTGAAAATACATCCTTTTGTGTGTTTTTTGACCAAATCAGTGACATCATTTATGAATTTTAAAGAGCAAAGTCCAGTAGTTTTCGTAACAATTTAGTCGTTTTCATCAGGCCTGAGGTTGATTAACAGATTTATGCAAAAAAAATGGAAAAAATATTTATCTGATGAATTTTTACAGCAGTTTACTTTAGTGTATGTTTTCATCCTGAACGTAATAATTGGGTTGTAAATTCGCCCAGAGTGTATAGTTAAGTAATTTAAGAAAAAAAATCAAAGCATATTCTTAAAATATGGGTCAAAATATGATTTGTCATCAGAAATCATTCTGCTAACTGACACACAGAAAAAGTTATGGCCAAATTAAAACAAAATCACCCCAGAGTGGATGAAAACATCCCTAATAGCACATAAGGGTTAAATATCCTGTACAAAATAAATTACATTTTTAAACATTTAATATTAATTCAATAATAAACAGAAAACATGTTTTTAATGTTATGAATGAATATGTTATCATTAACAAATAATAACAATTCATATAGTAATTATAAATATAATTATTAATAAATATAAATACCATCATTAAATACGGAGCATTTAAGTGCAAATGCTTATATTATTATTGAGGGTAACATTTGTGCTAAAGGTATTTTGATTACATTGTAAGTATTCATAGTGAATACATAAAAAATTTAATTTTATATTTTAATATGTCTCCTCATTATTAATCCTTGAGTAAAAAGTTATTTATTGCAGTTATTAAAGGTAATATACTTATTATTGTGACTTTATTATAATTATTGTGTAAATAAAACATATTTGCTTATTGTTTTATTATGGAATTTATTCATTTTCTTTTTTTTTCGGCTTAGTCCCTTCATTAATCTGGGGTTGCCACAGTGGAATGAACCGCAAACTTATCCAGTACATGTTTTCACAGCGGATGCCCTTCCAGCTGCAACCCATCACTGGGAAACATCCACACACACTTACTCACACACATACACTAAGGTCAGTTTTAGCTAGCCCAAATCACCTGTACCACATGTCTTTGGATTTTGAGGGAAACCGGAGCACCCGGAGGAAACAGAAATCCACGCGAACACGGGGAGAACATGCAAACTCCACACAGAAACTGTGCCAACTAACCTAGCCAAGACTCGAGCCAACGACCTTCTTGCTGTGAGGCAGCCCATAGAATTTATTATTGTAATTAAAAAGTGTAATAAAGAATTCATTCACTATTATTATTAAAATGATAACAAGTGAGTTTATTATTCAATTTTACTCAAAAATAAGTGTTATTATACGAATTATTATAGCCATTGTTAATTTAATTAATAAAAACACATTTTGTTTTTATTATTAAGTAGAATTTTAAGAGTATTTATGTTTTATTTCATTTCCTTCAGCTCAGTCCTTTTATTAATCTGGGGTCGCCACAGCAGAATGAACCACCTACTATTCCGGCATATACTTTACGCAGTGGATGCACCCATAAACACCCATACACACTTGCAATCACACAAACTCATACAGTATGGATAAGGATTCACCTTTAGCGCACGTCTTTGGACTGAGCCACCGTGCTGCCCCTATTTATGTTTTATTTTGAGTAAACTCATTATTGAAAATACTTATTCATATTTTATGATTAAATTTACTTTTGTAATTGAGTAAAATATAAAAATGAAAGTGTTATTATTTTTAGCAGAAATATTATTAATGTAAAATAATAAATTATGTACTTAATGCTTTCATTATGTACTTAATGCTTTTTCATTTAATATATTACATTACATTTCCTCATATATGTTTTTATTTTATCAGTACACTAGATATCAGCATGGCCACTGACCACTGAAAAAAAGAAACATTGACAAACTGGTCATATATTACAGGCATTACAGGAGTCCAACAGTGCTGAATCAGAGCATCATTAATAACAAATCCATATAAATCCTGATCCACTGCAGCACTAGCGGAACGTTTACAGATGCATTACAGTCTGACACTGGAAAACAACACAGCCTTTAATAAGAAGAGAACAAACACAATCAACATTTGACAATAATAATGTCGGTTACTGCATATTCAAAACACACATCACAATCAGGCCATTTTTATTTCAAGGAAACACAAATTTAAGCAAATGTATGACTTTGAGCATTTAAACTGCTTTGGAGTGTTAAACAGCACAATATGTTCCTTGACATCTCAAATGAGGAGATATTTTATACTGCATTGGCTGTGGATTTAAGGAAACATTGTTATAAAATCCTATTCATTTTTCTACTTAAGACCTCAAAGAATCACCAGGATCCACTGATCCCTCTCTGTTTGTTTGTTTTTGTTTGTTTATTTATCTTTTTTTACTAGCAACGTGTCGGTATTGACATGCATTTTCTAAATCATCAAGGACCACAGTTTCAGCTGTTTTTACAAATCTAATTTAATGTCCTGCTGAAAAGGAAAGTCTCTTACATCTTAGTTGATGACCTGAGAGTGAATTAAATTAACAGCAAGGTTTCATTTTTGAGGGAGCTAATTTAAACCTTCTAAATGCACAAGTATGTTCTCAGGATTGTTACTATTTTGCTGACTATTTTGATAGTGATATAACCTTTTAAAAATTGAATGTTCATGTCTTTCTTTAACCTGCATGCATAATGGAGCACCAGTCAAATATAGCTTCTTGATGCATGATTTTATAGTTTCAACTGAAATCTAATTAGCTTTTTAGCATATCTCACACACTTTCGGATCAGAATTTTGCAAATGTATAAATACATCAATGCAGAAAACATAAACATAATTTTAATGAAGTGAATCTACACAATTCTTAAAGGTTTTTCTGTGATAACAACTTAAATGTGCTAAATAAATTAAGTTAACTCAATTGATTTGTGTTAAGACAACATTAAGGAGATGTGTGGAACCCTGCATTTACAGTGCTGTTTGACTATTTTCTTCTGCTGAACACAAAAGAGGATATTTTGAAGAAAACTGGAAACCTGTAACCATTGACTTCTATAGAAAAACAAATACTACGTAAGTCAATAATTACAGTATTACGATATTCTTTTTTAAAAATATATATGTTGTGTTCAACAAAACAAAAAAAATGGTTTGGGACAAGTGATGAGTGAAAAATGAGGACAGAAATCTTTTTTTGGGTGAACTACAAGTAAATCAGGCCTAAAGCAAAGGGGGCTTGGGTGGTTTAGACCCCCCTTTACTGACAAAGGTCAACAATTTATCCCATACATGAGCTTAATTGTTCTATTTTGACTGCTACATAAGCAATGAGAATAACACATCGAACAAGGCTTTAAGACCAAGCAGAAACCTCTGTTGACTGACGCTTCGGCATGTCTTTAGCTAATAATCAGTTTTGTTTAGTGCTAACAAATATTTTATTTTATAATCTGATATAAGTGAAGTCGTCTTTCGCTACTGTATTGTTTTTAAATAGAGAAAACATTTCACACGTAAGTTTTATGCTAAATCTTGGACCTTACTCTTGAAACAAAAAATGTGAGAAGCACCAAAAGCGGCCCATATTAAATTAATTTCAATGTATCTTGGCTATTGTTGTTATCTATGAATTTTCAAACGTTGACTAGAAAAATTGTGACTACATAACAAAAGCTCTACATTATTATTATTATTATTATTATTATTATGTTTTTTTTATTGAATTGGCCAAATTGGCCAAAGGACATCTGAATGTGCTGGGCAGTTTGTTATTTGCCTAATAAATGACAATGGTCTAGTTTTTAAATTTAAAACTTTAACAGACTTTTCTAATGATATACTATGTGATAAATTTGTATTTTAAAAAGAAGTTTTTTTCGTATTTCTTTATTGTAAATCTTTAGGAAATAATTTTGGCACAGCAAAAAGTGTGGTTATCCTACAAGCTAAAAAAATACTGCTTAAAATGTCACTAAAATGCAGTATTTAGATGGAAAATGGGGCAAATAACTGCAAAAAGAATTTGCACATTTTTAAGAAAAATAAATCAACCCTAGGCTGCTATGAAAAGTTGCTAATCAAACACAGCGTGGCTTTAAGTGACAAAATATTAAGTTATGATACTTCTGTTTACAAAATGATTGCAATTTTTTAGAGTATTATGCCTGTCAAATAATAAGACTGAGGTAAATATCACTCATTTTCCAAGCACCGCGCTGTTTTAAAGTGTTTCGCGGCTACAGGTGAGGCTGGAAACTTGATCTAGTTGCTTCAGATGTCCCCATTACTAATTATAAACAGCTGAGACATTGTTGCATGACGGACAGCCAACAAACGAGTTGTCCTATAACCTGTCAACGGTGCCCACAGGTGCCTTTTCATTAAAACTTTTGCCACGCAGGCTGTCAAATAACGTGAACGAGCCGAGGTGACACAGCAAAGTCACGCGCTCCTCGTGCGCATCACCTACCTGTAGTAGGACAGGAGGCCGTTGCTCAGCACGAACCACCGGCGCTGGTACCCCTTCAGGTAGTTGGTCCATTTAAAGAGCCATCCTTTATAAGTGTCCGGACCGGGACCTTGGACACCTGAAGGAGACGGAAGAGTCCGCACCACCAGCTCGGTCATGTTGCGCGGTCACGAGCACTGCTGTCTGTCCGCGCGCGCGACGCCTTCTTCACCCCCGCGCGTTCCCAGGTTCACATGCAGGGATGCAACACGAGCGAGGAGTCAAATCTGCGGTCACAGAGAGGAGAGCGGAGGAGAGGAGAGGCGGCGCTTCTGTCAGAAAATATGGCAAACTGATGCTGCTGAGGGAAACACAGCTGATGACGTAGATATATCGCGGACGCACAGATTGCTGAGAATCTGATATATGACGTAAAGACATTAGTGAGGAGGATGCTTTTAAAAGATCAAGTGTGCATCCCGAGATAAGCTTGACGGCGGATACAGGGCCGATATCGGATACAGTCTTGATCCTTGCATTATGGCATTTGGCCGTTGCAGAGTCATGCGGCGTTTGTCCTCTACGGTTTACATTTTGCATCACTGAAGTGGCGTCTTGAAAATGCAGTTCGATGTACTGTCCGCAAGATGACGCCATGATGAACAGGTCATCATCAGATAGTGTTTATTACTCTCCATAGTGCTGCTTTGCCTATTTTTGCGCAATACCTTTTAAAAGATGGTTCCATTAAGTACTAGAAGTTATCTAACAGTGCTAAACTAGGTAATACTTTCCCAAAAATTACATTCCCATATAGGTTGTGACATGAAATAAGAAACACAGACAAAATATTGTTCAAAACACCATAAAGGATCCCATATAACTCTGTATATGTGACTGTTTATGAGCCCTGGAGTCATTTAAGAGCACACTGTAAATAACATAACATGTACACTGTGGTTGTTATTCAGTAGTTCTCACTTTCGACCTAGCTCAAGTCGAATAACAGCAAACCTTTGTTTTTATGGAAGCCATTTCTGCTAATAAGGCCTCAGTAAGCATATTTCTCTTCAGAGTCGGTCACAATGACAAAACCAAGGGTGTCCAAACTCTGTACTGGAAGGCCTGGTAAGTTTAGTTTCAATCCCAACCATGCACATATAGGCTAGCAAATCAAGCTAAAAACATCCGTGCAGGTATGTTGAGGCAAGTTTAGAGCTAAAATCTACAGGACACCGGCCCTCCGTTATTTTTGCAGAACATTAACATTCCCATCCTTAAAGTTAATTTTTTTTTACTAATCTCAGTATCATGGTTGTTTATCAGTATCCTGGCACAAAAATATCCTACATAAAATAATCATCAGGAATGTTGCTTTTTGGAGTTAACATTAAACTGCCTGGGGAAATAATGCCAATGTACATCAAATTATTCATTAAAAAATAAATAAATAAAATAAAAATGTAACCATACCTAAACGCATATTTGGTTCAACAAGCTTTCACTAATGTTAATGTTAAGGACCTGGTTTATAGCTTCATAAGATACGTGTAGCCACATTAGCGATTGAAAAACTCAACTTTAGAAGCTCAAACACAGCCACAAAGCTTTTGTTCAGAAATTTATTCGAGCTTGACTCTTAACACTGTGAAATGACACAGGGGGCCGAAACACATCAGTTATGTACATTATTCAGTCACACGGTTCGGGTAAAGTAATGACAGTAAATGATGAAAACAAATACATGGCATAAGTACTTTTCAACAGCCATGTACCCAAAACAAAATCCTACAAAATGGTTTTTATGGTATTTTTATTCCACATTTCCACACATGAACGCAGAGTAGAGCAAAACATGAGGGTTATTGGGAACTTAAAAATACCCTCACATTTCCACAAATACATTTCTGACAAATCCAAATGGCACACCAAACACCCTGCATTTACATGTGCACCTGGTTTCATGGACACTTCTTGACCAGGAAAGCGAGGACAAAACACAAAAACTTAAAAAAATAAAATATAACCTTCACTGAAGACTAACGGCAAAGCATTAACGAGTTCCATACTAACTACTCATAAATATGGAAATGCAACTTTAAAACCATGTGAGAAATTAACATTGGGGCAGGAAGAACACGCTGGGCATCAATTAATACGGCCGCTCTCTACGGTCCTGGCGGTGGTCTCCCCTGCAAAATAATTAAAAGATTCAATTTAATATGTTCCGTTTTATGGCTTTAACACCATCACAGAGACGAGCTTAATACTCACTTCATATCCATTTTGCCCGGTGGTCCCATTCCTCGCCCCCTTCGGCCCATGTCATCCATTGGAGGGCCTCCACGACCCCTTCCTCCAAAGCCCCCTCTGTCCATACCACGTCCTCTGAAGCCTCCACGGTCCACACCTCTGCCTCCACGGAAGCCTCCGGGTCCCCCTGGTCCTCCGCGATCCATACCACGACCACCACGCATCCCACCAGGACCACCACGACCGCGATCACCACCTGAATCACATAGGATTCATTAAATATTAGCAATGCAAACACTTTAAGCGCCTATAAGAGCTTTACATGAATATAAAAAGTAACCTGGAGGGAAGGGAGGAGGTCCGAAGCCTTCAGGTTTGGGTGCCTTGCACTGATTACACTCCATTCTCCAGGCAAAGTTTTGGTTTCCACATCCACTAAAAAAAAAGAAGTAAATCCTCATTGAACAGGCTCTGGGCAATTAATTGTACTCTGATCAAGCATCACTAGTGAAATACATACGCATTTGGACACTGCCAGTCTCCTGCCCTCTGCTGCATGTTTCCTCCAGTAGGTCCTCCACGACCCATTCCCCTGGGACCCCCACGTGGCATAAACCCTCCGCGATCACCACCTCTGCCCATTCCACCACGACCCATCATTCCTGGAGAGAGAGACGATTTATATTGAAACTGCTGTGAAATTAAATGGCTGCATCTGAAACATGAATGCAGCAGAGTACCTCCTCGTCCCATCATGCCACCGCGGTCTCCTCTCATTGGCATACCCCCGCGCATCATACCCATCATGGGCTTGCGTCTGGCCATTGACACCTTCAGCTTCTTCCCTTGGAAATCTTTTCCTAAAGAACAAACATTCATGTTGAGGGCTCATTTCATTCCTTTGAGGACTGATTTTGGTTCAGATCAACGCACCATCAAACCACTCGACTGCTGCTTTAGCAGATGGAGGCTCCTCGTAGGATAAGGTGGCATCGCCTTTAGGTTTGCCAGTATCTTTATCGGTGTATATGTTGACAGCAGGCAGGCCTGTTCGTTTGTTGATCTAAAATACAAAAAATAAAATAAACACCACCATTCAGTCAAGCATCAAGAAATCAATGGTAAATAAAGGACTGTTACTTGTTTTAGTTTGAGTAAACAAATGTGTCCCTAGACCACAACACTTAGGTGTCAATTTTTAGGAATCTAGGTTAATGCATAATCAGAAATTTGAATTCCCACTTGTGCCCATTTTGTCAGGATGATAAGATGTTTGACAGATTAAGTTATTTGAAAATCTGAATCCAAATACTGAAAAATCACATTTAAAATCTGACCAGCAAGCTGCATCTAGTCCTGTCTGAACCAAAGATCTGCATATTACACCCAATGAATGATGCCTGACTGAAGATCCGAGCATGAGGATGCATCTTTCTAGGTGTCTGCATTATCATTCCACAAAAGGAAACTCAAACTAGTGTTGCACTCATAAAAAGGGATTTGCTTGTAGAAATATGGAAAACCAATATAATTTGAAATTTTTTTTAATTAAATATATATAAATTAGCTGATTCACAGCAACTCAGATCGCTCTTTTACCCATGTCGATTCTACACAGTGAACCAGGTGAACTGCCAACCTAAGTCAAATAAAAGGTGACATGTGGAACACTACAAACAAACTAGCCTGACATATGCTCACTTTCAGCCCAATGGCTCACCATCAGCTTGATGTGTTCCAGCTCTAAAGGTGTCAAATTGAACTTCTCTGCGATGCCTATTACTCATAACAAATCAAGTATGATATATTTACATGGAGCATGATTGTTAACATTTAAACTATTTCTGGCATAAGAAAAATAAATAATTTTGCCACATACAACGTATTTTTGGCCATTTCAAAAAAATATACCCATGAAATTGATTTTTGGTCCAGGATCACAAATAAGACAAGCCTGCCCAACACAAAGTTCACTAAACCTAACAGCCAATCAGTTCTCACTGACAGCAATTCAACACACAGTCAGCCAAACAGTCTAGCTCAAGATTAACTACGCTCGAAGGCCCAACTAAGGGTGCTTTCACACCTGTGAATCGATTCAGTTGTTCCGAAACAGAGATTAAAATTGTTACATTGTTGCTCTTTGCTCTTGGAGCGGTTCGCTTTCACACTGCAAAGTTTCTAATCGGACCAAAAGAGCTAAAACAAGTCACGTGCGAGTAAACTCTCCTTACATTGGTCAGAGTGTCAGGGTTTATTTTGCAGCGTTCCGCTCAGCTGTCAGGAGGTGGTGGTTTGGTGGTGATTGACAGGGTGCGCGCGCGTGACGTGTCTGAGGAGAGACACGGTGGGGAGGGGTGAGAAGGGTGCGCGACGATGCCTATTTGAGGACTGGGAGAGAGACGCGAGATTACCGGGAGATCATCACTCGTTTGCGGGCATCCGGAGACTCGCGAAACTTCCCGCCCTACTCATAATTCTGTCTTCATGTAGCCGTAAGCCTATTACATATAAAACACTGTGATATAACCGCGCTCGGATCGGATCGCTTTCTCACTGCAATCGAACCGCTCCAGGGTTCGTTTCAATCGAGCCGAGACCACCTCATTCAAGCAATCTCGGAGCGATTACTTTGGCGCGGAACAGAGTGCGATTGCCCTGTTCACATATGCCAATCGAACCGCGCTAACTGGGCAAACGAGATACGTTCCGAAACAAAAGTGTAGGTGTGAAAGCACCCTAAGAGCTGTCAGCTTGGTGTCAGGGCTTTTTTCAGGAAAAAAAAGATAAGTACCCTAATGATGCCGCTGTGCTTGAAAAAGTCAGCGACTTCCTCCAACGTAGCATTCTCAGTCAGTCCCGTGATGTAGATAGTGCTGTTTTCAGAGTCATCTTGCTCCTCTGGGGCTCCTAAGGAGAAAACAGGAGTTAAAATCAAGAAATGTATAAAAATGAACAGTGTCAAAAAACAAAGTGTAAACCTACCCATTTCACCATCTATTCCAGATTTTCATCAAGCAGGACACCAAAAGAAAAAGAAAGGGGGAAACAAGTTAGTTTACAAGCAGAGCTTCAAGCACCTGACAACATTATACTAGCATTTCTGCCCCGGCACATTTGCTCTGAGCATTCAAAGACATAAGTCAAAATACCCTTGTGCTTATTGACCCATAAATAGTTTGATTGTTAAAGTATTAAGATGAGATTTATTTGAAAGCTATTTAGGTTTTTTTTTTTATAACTCCAGTGTGCCTTAAAGTAGAATGTTATATTTATGGAAAAAAACAAACCCTTGAAAATACAAGGACCCAAATTGGACTCCATACCTGATATCATATGAAATTGAAAAATGTAGTAAACACTGAAAAGGTAAAATCATCTACATGGCTGGGTCGGCCAATTACCATTAACTCCTAAATATGAGAGCAAAAGTAACCTTTGACTGGAGTCCACACTCAGGATTTTTAACCAATAAAAATAGGACTGAACCATTCCTATACAACCAATGACAAAATGTTGAAAACTCTTAAAATTCTAGCCGACAGTGTATTGTTTTGCAAGGCATTATTTTCATTTTCCCTTTGGGAAAAACACCAATAAAAGGTGGAGAATTCTAGTGTATAGTCTTGTGATTCTAATTAAACTTACCACCAGGCTTACTGAAGCCACCTCTGTCTCCAGCGATGCTGGGGGGGAATAAGCGAAGATATGAAGGCGATATCCCTTAAAACAGCCACTTCGGTACCACAAAAGGGGTAATGGGGGTATTTGCACAGTTCTAACTGACTCTTAACCTTCAACAAGTTTCCCTTATATAAAAACAAGATTTCTGAGAATAACACTTTGTTAGGGTGATGTAGCATTACAATGTCTCTGCCCTCATCCTGACTTCATTGATTTACAATTTAAAGACATTAGTGGCTGAACATTATTGGGGTTGTATGAAGCACAAGTAAGGGATGATCTTTATTACCATTGTAGGTGGAAAACCCCAGAAATGTGTACACTGACATTGAGAGGTAATTGTTTCAGATGCAGCCTTGCTACCATCTTTACATGACACCAAAAAAGATTAAAGAGAAGTAAAAAGAGTATTTAAAATGCCAGCTAAGGACAAGAGAACCTTCCCTTGTGGATTTATATATTTGTTGGTGGCAAATGTTCCAACTGGTCTAGAGGTAGCCTGTGTATGGATGCATCTGAAACAATCTGCTTACATGAATCTTGTACATGCATTTTAGTTAAATAAAAGAAGCAGATAAACTATAACACCATTTTTCTCTTTACAGAAATGATGCTGATTAAAGAAATTATACAACACAAAAGGGCTATCAAAACATCTTTGTATAAAGAGTAAACTTGTATGTTCAGATAATTATTACAACTTTTCTTTGGTTGTAAAACATGACTCTCATTCCTGTTGGAAAAACCCATTTGGAACACCTCTTGTCACGACCAACTTTAGGTCCCCATTTCAAAAGGCTGCCGGCCCAGACTCAGAACTGAGTAGCGGTACTGTAAAAGTATTGATGTGTTTACATGGCTCTCACTTTGTTACCTGTAGCGTATAAATGCGACAAAGCATGTTAAAGAAAAAGTTTCATGATGCACAAGACAATTGCAATCCAAATGTGTAACAAAGAAAACATACCCTTACTTTAATAGGGAAAATGAATGCAGTGTCTTTTCAAGCATACTTTAAAAACTCAAATGCTATTCATGTTTACTGCAATGTAAATTTACCAATGTATCAAAAAAAAAAATTATATTTAAATAGTTATTTAAAAGCACAGAGAGGGACATGCTCTAGAAAATGATTAAGTAATTAAAAAAACAAGGGTATTTTGTAAGTTAAGCATCACTGCATTCACTTTCATATTTGTTTTGCATTAGTCCTGCTTTTGGTAGCATTGAAAGAAGTCTTTGGGAACCAATATTTGATTGTAAAACTCTTTACTTAATGCAAACCAGAATTATAGAACAACATTTTAAAAACCACAGTAGGTAAAAGTTTTATTCTAGTGAATTTTACCCATTTTAACACGTTTTCTGAAAATATCCCTAATTTTCACTTGGCCCTTTATCAAGAACAATAACTGTGAACTTTAACTACAATAGTATCCACACTTAAGACATGATCACATCTTGTTTACAGGGTTCCCACTTTAAAACAAATACCAATTTCCCTTATTTTCCTTGTATAAAGCTGAATTTCCATGACATGTAGTGAACAAAACAGGTCGATGATGTGCTTATACATCAACTTTACAATTATAATAACACTAAAACGTTTTTTTTTTAAGGATGCATATCATTTTGCAGGGCATTAACACCTACTATGAGAACAACCGATAATTTACCTCAGATTTTGGCTGTGAAGTACTCCGCCTTAAATATCTGATGTAAAACCTAGTGACTAAGGCCCCGTTTACACTAGTACGTTTTAGTTTTAAAACGGCGTTTTAGAATGAAAACGATCCGCATCCACACTCGCGTTTTACCCAGCGTTTCTGAACTGCTCTCCGTCCACACCAAAACGCTGAAAACGCACATCACGTGACCACACAGACGCTCTCGGGCAAGCGCTGCAGCCCATGTACCCAGATGAGAGCTGTGCTAGTCGGACTTCTCATTAAGCATCTCCCGCTGGATTTAATCTCACTATATTTATTAAACGGGATATTTCATTTATCTTGTTGTCTTTATCTAACGACATATTCCCTGACTTTGGGCATTGGAATCTATTACTTGTTCTCAGGTAACGTGTTTTGGCTGAGCGCAAAGATAAGTTAATGATTAATGTAACCACGTACATTCTGTATATTGACTGATCGCTTGCCTTTATTTCCTATAATGTATAAACTTATTGTATGTTATACTTTTAAAATGGCCATTATCGATTCTTAAAACTGATACTCAGCAAAAGAGAGGGGATGTTTCGTATTTTCACTGAAATTGAAAGGAGGCAGTTGTTATCAGCTCCGTTTTGTTATAAATATCCACACAGTGAAGATGACGCTCATATGCAGCACGACGCCTCAACATTTCTGCTGTCTGTTTAGTTGCTAATATTAAAATTAAAATAGGCAGTTCCTTAAATCAAGTTTACATTTTATTGTTGAGAAAGTGAAACAACGAAGCCAGGGTGATGTGAATGAAGTTATAAAGTACACTGTTCCCTTTGAAGATTTACCCGTGTCCTCGGTATAGTCTGCTTTTCCATATCAAACTGAGAAGAAGAGATGCAGCCTTGATCAAACTTGCGAAGTCTGAACTTACACGGAGAAGATTCAGGACTGAACTGTGTTTTAGGCTACTTAATATTCAGGAAAAGCCCCAATCAGAGAGGCGAACGTCTGCAGCCCCGCCTCCGTTTTCAGATGTCTCCGTTTTCCATCATCCACACTGAGACGGAGCAGCAGCGTTTCAGAATGAAAACGGCCTCTCCAGCGTTTTCGAAACGCTCCGTTTTCGGCGCTCGAGAACTCCGGCGTAGTGTGGACGGTTGGCGTAACCGTAGCAAAACTTATGCGTTTTCAAACTAAAACGCATTAGTGTAAACGGGGCCTTAAACTGACTAAAGTGACTGTCAGGTTATGAGCATGAAAAAGAAAATGGAGCTAAAAAATATGGCCCAACCAAGTAATCATAAAAATGGGCATGAAACAAAACTTCCCTGTCATTCCATGACTTTGTGGAAAAAAACGGAACTTTTAACGTACAGGACAGACCATTTCAATTTGTATTACCCATGGGAACCCAGTGTTTATTGTCAGTACACTGTAGTTTTGTAGTTTACTTTTTTAAAGGTTTACGCACTCTCATGTCATTTTTGCAATAGATGTGGTCCTAGGGGCCATTTTTACAGAATGCATTTTGCATCTAAAACGTGGGTGCAGCCCTCAGGGAATTATTATTTTTAAAGAGCTAGGTGTGATAATTGAAGAAATGTTACACTATTTAGGGTATGCACACAAAGCCACCATGAGCACCTCGTTTGCAATGTTGCCATCAAATAAAAATCTGTCAAGCCAACAGAAGCTTGCCCTGCCTTCAAGTAGTTCTGACCAGTTCAATAGCTTAAATCTGACCAGTGTATGAAGTTGCATGTAAAAGCTGAAACTTTTATAGAAACAGTGTCTCAAAAACATGACACTCATGCAAGGCAAGATGAGTAATGGTCACTCAAGCGCAATGAAAAAGTAGCCCATTGTTATGGAAAAATGCATTGTGTGAATGGCCCCCTACATTGGCCAGGCTTTAGGAGTCATTTCAGTTGAGTAAACTGAATTAAATCTCTACCCGAAAGCATTTATTTGCAGATAGATCTACAGGAACCCGCTTATATTAATGAATGCACCTTTTGGATTAATCCTAAATGCTTACTAAATATTTTTAGGACCATTTAGAAAACCGATCTTTAAAATTCTGACTTCATAATGCTTAATCATCTACTTCCTAGTCTACAATCTTAACTCCATTTAATTTATAATCTCTCAGATTATGATAAAATGCATAAGAGATTGAATTTATATTTTTTCCCAAAGCACATTCTCAATCATCTTACCTTAGAAAACAATGAGGCAAAGCTGAGAGCAGCACTACTTCAGGATTAAGTCAATTTAACTTTTTAAAAAAATTTTATTATAGTGATTTTCAAATAATTTAGGGAGAAAAAGCTATAATATTCGAGACGAAATGTCCAAACTGTGTTTGAGATGTCAAAATACAGTATATAATTCAAGCTCTGGCTCCAAAACTATAAAGTTACATTTAAATTTTAAAATAAAGAGTGGCTCTCAGCCCTGTGTGGCCTCTTTCAGCTCCTGTCTGAGGGAAAAAGAAGTAGTGAGATGAGAACCTATGAATGCACACTTACCCCATGCCTCCACGGCTCATGCCCCCTCGCATGCCACCACCTCCTCGCATCATTCCCCGGTCAAACCCACCCCGGCCGCGCCCGCGGTTCTCCCCCCCTCCCATGCCTCGGCCCTCTCCAGGGCCCCCATATCCTCCAGATTCAGGGCCAGAATAGCCACCTCCATTCTGATGGTCTGGTCTGTAACTACCTGTAAAAGAATCAAGTGTCACTGACATTTTTGCATTTGAACACAAGTCTCCGATTAGCCACCTCCAGCAGACTTACCATACTGGTTTGGTGGTTTATAGTCTGATTGGCCATAACCTCCTCCAGTACTGCCCTGCTGTCCATACTGACTGGCAGAAGGCTGTCCATAAGATCCAGAAGGCGGAGCATAGCTGGAAGGCGGAGCCTGCTGCTGCTGGGGAGGAGTTTGTTGATATCCTCCCTGCTGGCTATAGGAGCTCTGCTGTCCGTAGCCTCCTTGCTGGCCCTGGTATCCTCCCTGCTGCTGCTGAGAATAAGTGCTTTGCTGAGGCTGCTGGGAGTACGAGCTCTGCTCATATCCGGCAGGCTGCTGGCTCCCAGAACTGTAACTGCTGAAAGAGAAAAGAAAGCATTAGTGAAAAATCAAATGCACACTGATGAGTAGTATACATTAACTGATATTTGTATTATACTTGTTTCATGAATTATGCTGTTGTGGTAATTCTTTATCTGCTATAGTAACAACTATGGTAATAAACAAATGATACAGTACTATATTATACAGTACAAATACTGTAGTTTTCTTCAAATATAGGGCATATTATACTGCATAGTTTACTGTAGTAAAAACTGAAGTATATGACAGCATTTATTACAATTTACACTATTAATATAAATATGTACATGTACACATACACACTATTGTAGTTTATAATACTGTATGTATGCATGTATTATACATACACAGTATTATAAACTACAATAGCAGGAATCAAACCAAATTATTTACTAAAAATTACTAGTGTCTTTTTTCATGTGGGTGATAGGGTAAGGTTCTAGTTGGTTTGTAAAGTAAAAATTAAGATATAAAATACTATGTCTGACAAGGAAACTTAGCTACTCACATTCCTATAAAGTCAAAAGGTTTAAGTTTTTTTAGATTATGCTAATGTGAACAACTATATATGGTTTATTTTGACACTATATTTAATATGGAATAAATATCTAAATGTATTTAATACTGGAAATATCTAGTTTTAAAACATTTTTAGCAAGGCAAGTAAAAATCTTTATCACTTGCCCAACAGTGCCAGAAAAAAAAAAAAAAGACATTAGCTCCAAGCACTGGAATTAGACCAATACCTGGGAGGTGCAGCAGCAGCAGGCTGTTGTCCATATCCAGGATATGCAGACTGGGTTCCATAGCTGGCCTGCCCACCATAAGAGGTCTGAGTGTTGCTGGTTGACGAGGCAGCAGCTGTGGAGGAATCATAGCTGCTGCTTCCATAACCTTGCACTGGTTGAGTATAGCCTTGCGGTGTGGCTGAAGCAGCATTATAACTACCTACAAAGGGTAAATACGAAGGCCTCAGCTAACAAATGCTTGGGAATGTTGAACATACAGTGCTCAGCATAATTTAGTACAGCCCATTTTGAAAATTAATATTTTTTAATCCATTTCTCAGTGAATATAGGCAATGTAATACTATATTTTAATAAATAATATTTAGTCACCAAACATATTTAGAAATAGAAAGATAATACAATAAAACGAAATCTTTAAAATTTTTTGCTTCTCTTAATTTGTCCTCTTTTTTAAATTTGTATTTAATATTTTTCTATAACATAAATTTGGGTGTACTAGTTTTTGGAGCATTACCGCTAATTATTTTGTTAGATAAGCTCCAGATTTGGCTTCAGTACTGACCAATCTAATGTATATGCACAAATATAAATAAAATGAATGAATGAAATATAATATTGTATAGCTTCCTATTAAAAAAATGAATGTAAAAGATTGAAGGGGGTGTACTTATATATGCTGAGCACTGTGGTTTGATGGAGGATAAGAATGAACAAGAAAAAATTAACACACCGCTGGCTGGTGGCTGCTGTCCATAGGAAGACCCATATGGCTGTTGGCCATAACTGCTTGAAGAACCACTGGTCTGAGAGTAGGTTGAGTCAGCCGGTTGGCTATATGAACCATAGCCTTGCTGTTGACCATACGACTGCTAAACAACAAAAAGCACATACAACAAGTCATATACAACATGTCGATTAATGGTTTATTTCATAGAAGACAAAGCAAAAGTCTAAATTGAGAGTCTACCTGGGTGCCCTGTCCATATCCCGGTTGAGAGGGCTGGGCCGGATAGGAGCCGTACCTGATAACAAAGAATTTCCAAACGTTTATAGTAATAGGACACACACACACACAAATACATTCAGGGCTGCCACATCTTTTAAGCCAATTACCTGCCTGGTGAAAGCGGTGGTTCTTTTTTCTCAAAATGTGGACCTTTTTTGCAGTTATATGCATCATTTTCTATTTATTAGGAGTATTGCATTTTAGGCAGTATATTTAGTTGGATTAGCTTCTCACATTTTAAATGTACCAAAACAATCCTTAAGATTAAAAAAAGAAAATATGAATTAATACATTACATCATATATACCATTTGAAATAAATAGGAATCTGTTAAATTTTTTTAATTAAAAACTGTAGCCTATTGTAAATTATTAGGCAAATAAACTGGCCAGCACATTCAACTTTTTGACTATTCTAATAATAAAATTTAAAAACATAACATTAAAAGAGCTTCATAATTTTTATAAGCTCTCTTGTAAAAAAAAGTACATTTGATTGAGAATTCATGGATAACAATAGCCCAAGATTTAGAATAAAAGTTACTTGTAAAATGTTTTCTCTGTTAAACAATAATACATTAGCGAAAGACAACTTCACTTAGGCTACATCCGATATCATGTTTTTTTTGCACAGCTAAACCTTGGACACATGAAAAATAATAGTTTGCATTGAACAAAACTGATTAGATTTAGTCACACAGATTGGACGGTCAACCGAAAATTTGGCTTTGTTTTAAAGCCTTTTTCGATGGGTTATTTTCACAATGTACAATGGTGTAGCAGTCAAAAAAGGACAAATGAGCTCATGTATGGGACAAATTCTGGACCTTTGTCATTGAGGGTTGGGCCATTTGAACCACCCGAAACCAACCCTGCTTACAGGCCTGTATTTTTACTAACATTTCACCGATCAACACTGGTCTTAAGGGAGTATTTTAAGTGAATATTTTTTGGTTTTCATTTGTCCAGGACTCTATATAGTACACTATATTTAAACAGTTGTTATAATCAATTTATTATCTCATAATTAAGTTTTTGTTCATTCAAACATTTTTAAACCAATCTTTTATAAAGGCTGCAATAGCAAGAACAAAATATATACTAGATACTATAAACATTTCTTAGGTTAATAACCTAAGTTAGGTTAAGAATCAAGAAACAGTGAACTATACATACCCCTGCTGGCTTCCAGCCTGTCCGTAACTGTTGTAATCTGGAAGTAAAAAAAAAAAAACATTTAGGAAAAAAAGCAAAAATTAAAACTGCATTTACAGAACTCTGATTATATTTGTTCACCAAAAATTGGGAAAATAACGTTACAACCATTAAAAGGAGCATGCAACGTTATTGGAAGATAAGGGAAGGGGTTTCAATGAGCTGACACAAATGAACTAAACTAACGTACAGGACCGTGAAAAGTCGAGCTTTTGATAAATATAAGTGCAAGACAGATGTTGAAACAGATTTATTATTGTGATTAACTTTTGGAGGATTAAGAGTAATATCGGATTATTTTGATACAACACATACGAGCTCGAATGCTAACACCAGTTAGCCCGCCTCTTATCTCAGGCGTTGCCAAGCAACTGACAGACACGTGTAAATATGTACTAAAATATAATTAGCTCATTCTTAAAGCAATTATTGAAAATGTGTGTGGTTTTGTTTTATGCAAGCATTACCGAGCAAAATGTAAAATGCCGCATTTTTACGTCCCCTCCCCCATTTCCACACGCAGTAAGACCGAACCGGCTCGAACCACACCGGCATAATACACACATTTAACTGATTATCTCGTTTTGTGGAACACAACTTAATCTGCGTTAACTGTAACCGTCGACAAAAATAACACTCATTACTAATCTAAAAATCTTCAATTCACAAGGTACAACAGGGCACAAAAGATTTTACATTGATCTTACCTGCAGCAGACGCCATTTCGTGTGCCTTCTGAAGCGGAAAGTGCGCATGCGTGGATGACGTTCATCAGCCGGTACCTACTCATCGAGCGGGGATGGATATTTATTACAAACGGTATAATTTCATAAATATATTTGGAATAAAATGCTAAATTAATGTATGAACGTTAAAGTTAATTCAGTTTGTTCAATAAAGGTCATAATGAAGAAATAAATCTTAATTTACCGATGATCATATGTGTTAATGGTTTCGCCCTAAGAGTCTGAAATGACCTACTTAAAAGATTCAGTTCAATAAAGAAAAGATAAGAAAGACAATAATTATGTGTGAATTTATATAAAAGAAATGTTTTTTATCACTGAGTCACGACACAATAATTTTTTTATAATAATATCTTGTTTATAAGCGGTTGAAACACAAATGTAAATTTACAAGAATGTGGATGAAAAAAAAACTGCAAACAAAATAATAAATCCATATGTTGACGTATTAAACCATAAACACATGTATTGGAAAAACAGAAATGTATCATGTAATAAGAATATTGTCTTATAACTAATTCTGGACAAAAAATGCTATCCCGCAAACCTGCTTTGCACGCTAAATGCTGTAAAATTATACTTTAATATAACATTGAAAATTATAATTGTTATTTGGCATTGTTCTCAGCACAGTGCAGTATCGCCTACACCATAATTTACCTGCAAATGTTCTTCTATGTTTAAGACCTAACTAAAGCAAGCAAAAGTACGTTTCAGTGTAGTAGCATTACAAAACTGTACATTGAAAAATATTTATGGCACTTTGAAAATCGATATGACAGCAAATGCTTAAGATAATGCAATTACAAATACAAGTCATATCTCTTGAGATTAATATAACAGGACTTTGTTGACACTCCTTAAATGAAAGCTGATGGTGGAGCCACAGATGATAATCCAGCACCAGAAACATCTGATATGAACTGGTACAAATAACACCGTAGCCTGCTGTTCTGACTGTGACCGTGTTTCACAGGGCAGTGCAAAAATGCTTGTTTTTATCTTCCCTTTACAGCTGCTGAAATTGTCCAATGCCCAAAGGTCAACAGGTCACGATAAGCTATGATGTCCTGTTCAGAAACTGGTGGGTTTCGATCAGAGTAACCCATCCTGTTCGAAGACTGAGGGTAACAGGGAGAAGTCAAAGGGGGCGAATTTGACTCCTGCTCCACTGTAGAATTTGTTCTGAAATTCCACCCTACAAAACAAAGCCAAGTCAGAATTATGGGGGAAAATAGGATTAAACAGGCAACTGTTTCTATATATTACATATTTGTTGACCTTTTTAACCTTTTATTGTAGCTTCAGCCCTGTTTACCCCTGTTATTATGATGCATTTTGTTCAATCAGATTGCAAGTAGACAAGAGAGACATGCAAAACTATACAGAGAGCAGTAAGTTTAGTTTGTTTTTCGATAACCACAAAACACTGTCGGGTTGTGTTATAATGAAGACAAAACAAATGTTTGTTGCCTTTAAATCAAACATTGGATTTCAGAAGAATGAATTAGGGCAGTAGCTGGTTAATAATCTGGTTATTATCACTATTACAACCTATACATTTCCAGAACATTCCCTACAGGATATTTTTAGTTTTTATTTTTTTCAAATTGAACATTCCAATGGAAATAAATGAATATAATACAGTATTTAGCTTGTTGTTGATATCCATTTTTATAATTTTTTAAAAATGTCTGTAAAGTACAGTACATTCTTGTTAAAAATAACTTGTTTAACTGATTGAAAGAAATGTCAAATCTGGGCACAGAAATCAAATAAATCTTTATAATCACACTAACTGACAAAAATCATAGGTAATAATAATTAATACGATGGTCCTTAAATTACTTTTTAACTAGACAATGAAAAAAACAAGAAATGGTTTGTTAAGTTCTGATTATTAAGGTATGACATTCTACTAACCGTAATATTACCCTAGCATTAGGACAATGTAAAATAACATCATTGAAGCATAATTATAATGTTCTACAATTTAAAAACTATCCCTTAAAATAAAAATAATAATTTTGTTAAATAATAACTCCCCCTCTCTCATGCAATGACATCTCATCTCTTCACTGAAACATTTACAGTGGTTTCACCCATATATACATCATAATAGGCAAGGAAAGACTATTTTAACTTCCATTTCAAGACTTTAAAAAGGAGTAAAGGGCACTTTTATACACCCGGCTAAATAAGGCGCAAGGCGTGTGTGGCGCCATTTGTTGCTATTTTCAGACCAGCGCAACAGTAATTTTCACGTTTTGCACCATGTTGTTAAAATAGTAAATCCATTTGCACCACTTTGTGGACACATAGGTGTGCTGGTCTGAAAAGGAGGTGTGTGAAGGCGCATTGGTGGTGCCAGAGCAGAGCGTGTAAGTTATGTGCCTATGCAGATCCAAACGCTTAATACACACAGGATGTACAGCAATACAAAAATATCTTTACATATAAAGAAAAAAAACATATAAATATATATATATATATATAAATATATATATATATAAGACACAAACAGATGTCAGACTGTTAACTCACTTTTATCATAATTTGCATGAAAGTTCAATTATTTACAGAGTAATAACAAGTATTTTAATATAACGTTTTTAAAACTAGGATGATGGTTCAATATGAATAGAACAGATCCAAGAACTGTCCATCCCAGTCAAAACAGTCGAAGTTTAGCGGGTCTCATGCTGTCATTAGTCAAAATATCTTGTCAAACCACACGACAAAGGTCGTGGTTCCTCAGCTGGTCCTGTCCACGTAAATCCTAAACTCAAATACTGATCATCATGATCATCATATCATCATATGTCTTTTGGGTTTAAGCCCTGAACTTGAAGGCTTTGAATCAGGGGGTCTCAGAAACCGATCCATTGTATTAGCAGGCATATACCTGTATTGGCGGGCATGCCAAACAGAAGCGAATTCACAGCTATGGCCTTCTGGGTAAAAAAGGTTTTGTTATTTTTGACGTATTATTTTTTTAGCTTTGTTTAATTAAAACATTTAAATATAATAAAAAATAAATTAATAATTATTAAAACTTAATAATTATATTTGTATTATATAATATTTTTTCCCATGCCTCCCCTGACATGCTCTGGCGCCCCCCAGGGGAGGCACGCCTCACACTTTGAAAACCCCTTTGAAACTTTGAAAAAAAACATTGCCTTCATGTCTTCTTCTTGTCAGGGGATATTTTCAGTTTATTTATGTCAATTTGCATTTGTATAATGTTATTATTATTATTATTATTATTATTATTATTATTATTATTATTATTATTATTAGCAGTGTTATTTATTATATGCATATTTAATTTTGTTTTAATAAAAACAAGTTTAGTTATGTCCACCTGTCAGGTTTTTTTTAATGTATGCATCACCATATGGGGCATTAGAATAGGACATGTGTTTGGATTTTTTAACCACCTTTTGTTAATATTGCTCATTTATTTGCTTGGTGGAAATTAAATCTGAATTAGGAAATAGTTTTGAAACAAATCTTTGCGCTTAACAAATGAAATTAAATATGAAGGCTAATGGATGTCTTCAGAGGACTACATATGCGCAGCTTTAGACTTTGTGCTTAGATAGCTAAAATATGTCCCAAAGGGTTATTTTCTGTTAATAAAACCTGCCCGAATCTGAGTGTATGTGTGTGTGTGCTCACCAGTGAAGACGCAGAGCATGGAGGAAAGCAGACAAACCCTCCATCACCAGCAGTATGGAGATGGTGAGCACAGCAAACACACTGAACACTGGCACAAGGAAAATAACGCCCAGTCTGGAGCTGATCCTCAAACCGAGACGCATCACCATCGCCCACAGCACCTCCGACAGCTCTGAAACAGAGGTAACACATACAATGAATTCACAAATACTACAGTAAAAAAAGATGTGTGGTACAGTGATTCCATGTGTTTTTCGTATGTATAATCAAACACTCACGAGCGTGGGCGAGACTCAGGGCCCAGAGCCGCAAGTAGGAGGCTGTGTTGGAAATACAGCCCAGACTGTACTCTATGGTGTGAATGGCTTGATGCAGAAAGACGTCTCCGAAATCAAACTGCCAATAAACAAGCAAGCTGTTAGTGTTATTTGTTGAATGAATAAGCAAAGTCAATGGGTTTTGCTCACTGTGGGTTTGTTGAAAGTACATTAATGAATTAAAAATATTTCAATGTACGAAACAGACAACATTCTTAAAGCATTGCCTGCTTACACAAATGTTAAAAAAATGTGCTATTCATGCCAGATCAAAAGTTGGAGATGTCATTATGTGCCTACACACTTGCATTAATTTGGTCTATCATTATTGTTTAGGTTATTAACTACTTGCATGTAGAGCTGTGCAATATGATGATACACTGTTTATCACATTGACAAAATAAAAAGTTTATAATTTCATGATATGTTCTATTATTTGGTTTGTGGTGTCACAAAATACATTGCTTACAGTAATCATTTTTAATACTTTGGATGAGCGCAGTATTACATTAAAGGCAGAACCAAAAAAGTTGCACGTTTGTAAGTACAATGTTTACATTTTGCATTTTATTTAACATTATTTTGTTGGACCATAAACCATTATCATGGTCACACTTTATTCTGATGGTCAGTTTGTTGAATTTAAGTTACATTGCAACTAATTCTTATTAGATTATAAGTAGACTATTAGGTTGGGGTTAGGGTTAGTGTAAGTTGACATGTACTTGCAAAATTTCTTAAAGTCAGTTAAAATTCTGTTGAATGAGTATTATCAGCAGATATTAAAGGGCACCCATGGTGAAAAATCTACTTTTTAAGGTGTTTGGACAGACATATGTGTAGATATAGTGTGTAGACCGTCATACTGGGGTGATATAAACACAGCCAGTCCTTTTTTTCAATTTAACAACATAAAAACGGTGGACCAATTGGACCGTATTGATTGACAGCTGCGCTAATTAACATGTCCCGGTAGTCACGTGTATAATCATATCAACAAGACTAAAAGTGCGCAAAGTAATCAGGAATAAAAGGTCTGTTCAGTTTGCTAGGATCATCAATTATCATAAAAAGTGAGTGAGTTTCACGTGTTTAAAATGTTTTAAAACAGCACAAGTGTGTAATGAATCACAGCGATTTACTTCAGCTTTACTTCAGCACAGCCACGTGTCAGAGCAATTATAAATGAAGACACTTTAATCCTGGTTTGTAGACGAAAAATCATGTTTATTTTGTACATAAACATAACAGATATCCAACCAGGGCTCATTGTGGAAACGTAGCCCCGCGGACGTTTCTGCTGACCACGAGATACGTCCCGGGAGGTACGTATTCGAGCGGTTTTTGTTTTCGCGGATCCGCGAGAGGCCGCTGTGCACGCTTTTTGTGTGCGCCGTTCGCGCCCGCGCCATTCTCGCGCGAAAAGCCGCCGGATCGGCCGACTCGGCCGCCCTCCTTTTCCTCCTCCTTCTCCTCCTTCCCTAAACCCGAGCGACGGTTCGCAAAAGCCGTCCAGAAAAAAAAAAAAAAGCAAAAGCCTTCGTCTTCGATTTCGACCGCGTTTTCGGATCCCGCCACGTTCTCGCCCTTATTTTTCTGGTTCCGTTTTTCGTCTTACCTGATTTCTGGAACCGCTGTTTCCCGGACTCGATCCCAGTCGTCGTCCCCGCGGCCGGCTACTCCTCCTCCGGGGCCTCTGCTCCACCGACGCAACGCTGTGAGCTAAGCGGACAAACAGCTTGCATCGAAAAGCCCTCCACTCGGAGGCGAGCCGTCGGCCGGCGAGCGCGAAGAGGAGGGGCAGAGCAGCGCCACACTGCCCCGCAGCGTTCGCTCGAAAAAAACTAAACATGGCCTTACGTACCTCTGGCCACGTAAATCGCGGTCTCCAGAAACGTCCGCGGGGCTACGTTTCCAGAATGAGCTTGGGTTACAGATATCCATTCAGCAGTGGAGATTAACCTGCATCCTGTCGAGCGCTCTGTCTGTCTGTGTTTGTGTATCTGCTGAGCTGTGTGTTAGCGTGTGTATCGGTGTGTGTGTGCACGTGAACTTTGTAACGACATTGTGTGGGGAGAAGAGGAGATTAAAGCATGCAGAAAGGCATGTAGAAACAGTAGGTGGGGAGGATTAGCCTTAAAACGCAGTGCGACAAAACAGTCCCCTTGTGAATAAATGTATAAAATAGAATCTTGTAAAAGGTATAATAAAAAAATCTGATGTCTGTTTAGAGCTGAAACTTTACAGACACATTCTGGAGACGCAAAACACTTATATTAAATCTGAAAAAAGGGGTAACCTAGGTGCCCTTAAATCAGTCTACTAATACTCAAATGGACCATCAAAATAAAGTGTTACCATAATCATTAGTTTAATCTAAATGTCTTATATTTCATAAATCAGGTGAGAAAGATAATCATATGAGTACATATTTGAGTAAATATCTTAAAAGGTATTCACTAAATTGTCCTTTCCATGTGGTCAATATTCATAACTATTTTTCACAGATTTAGTTTTTCAATAAACTATTGGTTTATTAAGTTAATTAATATGAGGTGCTATTTCCAGGGTGCAATTACACATTGACAATCGGGGACTTAGGTTTTTTGGTTATGTTTGTTAATATGCCTCAGTGAACCAAATTTATATATCTAATTAATCACATCTAATTTATTAATCAAACTTTTGTTTTCAGTGTTTTGAGGGATATTGAGTGGTTCTCATTGACATTTGTGATGTTAAATAAACAGTGAAATGTTTGCATTCCTGCACCTATTAATGGATGACCATGAAAGACTGCATGTATTTTTTATTTTCTTGTTAAGTTCCATGTGCAAACAAGTTTATAATAAAAGACAAACAATGCATCTAGTTTCACAAACATCTACAAACACATTTTTTTGGTGTTCACCATGTTTTGTGAACACGCTGTCAGTTAGTGCTCTAGATTTGCCTTGATATTTATGAATTAATAATATTGGCGCAAACATGCATTTACAATGGTATTAACCATAATAAAATGGTAAAATGTATATCTATTATTTTAACTAATAATATTATTTAAGATACAGTTCAGAGAAAACTTATTCCTAACTATTAACGAGCAGACCCCCATACACCTCGTTTTGATGCCCTTCAGGGGGGATCAAGTGTTAATTGGGGGGGTCAGACCACCCCAAACCCCTTTGTAAGTCGAACCCTGGCTATATCATCTTATTATAACATTATATATATATATATATATATATATATATATATATATATATATATATATATATATATATATGACTTATATCATGATATGAGAGCCAGCCCTACTTGCACATTCATTTAGACTAGATATGCCAAATGGTTGAAGAACAATACATTGTTAATAATCATTAACAAAGCACAAGTGATTTCACATATTGCATATTTGTCATGTACACATAGACAATAGTGGTTTATTTTCAAAAATATGCACGTGTTGTATTTTTATTATGAGAAGTTTTCTGGTTCTTTGGCAAATATGAAATAATGCAATTAACCCCAAGTGAATGAGAGTCGGAGTGTTTTAATGGTGACAGAATTTGAGAATGTGAGACTGAACCTCTTGAGGGCCTCCTGATTCGCTCAGTCCTTCCTCTTCATCATGAACTACAGATGGGGACAGATCTTCTTCACTCACACGTCGCACTCGCTCATAGCCCTGCACACAAATAAATCTGATGTAGCATCCTTGCCTCTTTAACACGTCCATCATGCAATAATATTCAGTATCTTTATAATATTCTGTTATATACACAGGCATCTGAAGAATAGATTTGTCATTTAGGGCATCTGCACAAAAGTATTTCACATGTATATATATGTCAAATTTAATTGTTTCTTCGGTGCACAGCCATGCAGATGGGGACAAATCAATATCGGTTCAGTAATAGATCATAACCGGTTATTACGTACTGAAGTCATTTATCTGTATGTGCAATGTCGCAGTAGAATACTATGGCGAAGGAGGTGAGTGTGAATAAATAAAACGCTCCTACTTAAAAGGTAGATAATTATGCACAATTCAACCGCTTGTGAATTTTCTTGACAGTCTTTCATTGACACTGAAGAAGGCACAACACAACAAGCTGCTATTTCACTACTAGGGAGAAATGCTGTAAAAATCCATTTATGCCTCCCTCTCTCACACTTTGGACATTTGACCCGCTGGCGTGTTTGTAAGGTAACTTTTCCTCTCTTCTTGAGTGTTTAAGCGATACATGTGGATCCAGACATGAGCGTGTCTGTGGTGCGAGTTTTCTCCACTGTGTCTATATTGGATTAACTGTGATAACCATGCATTATGCGCAAATAGACTGTAACTGCGGCTGTTCTTCTCGTGTGACTCATGGGTGAACATGGCTTTTATTTCTAAAGCCAATCGCAGCCCTTTCTGTTGAGCGGGGATAGACAATCAATCAAAGGGTGTATAAGACCTCGCTTGACAGTGCTCAAAAAGCAAGCGGATCATATTTACATGAGTAAATGAGCAGGTAAAATTAAAAGTACAGTTCATATATCTTACTGCTTGCATTCAAGGACAAAATTGTATTACAGATAATACATAAATATTAATATATTTATCAATAAAAAAAATCCTTGTGTTGTGAAGAAAAAAACAAATTATGTATGGAAAGCATCGTCAATGCACCGTGATGCACCGAGATATCGAATTGAAACTAATCGATGACATGATAACCGTAACCGAACCGAACCGTGAGACCAGTTTAGGTTCACACCCCTAATATATTTATGTGTATGTTTGTGTGTTTGTGTGTGTGTGTGTGTGTATGTATGTACATATATATATATATATATATATATATATATATATATATATTATAATAACACCAAGAAAGTACTCATATTAAAACAGAAATTCATATAACTAAATAGCCGTCAATCTACAAAAAGGCAAATTTCTATAAAACAATTACCAATGTTATAGTACTCAGCAACATGTTAAACAAAAAATTAAGTTAATAAAATGATTTAAAATAAAGTTAATTCTACATTGAGGTGAGTAATTGCAATTAATATGTGATTATATTTTCCTGTCAAGTGAGCACTTAAGATTAATCATGAATAAGCATGAATTTTTTTCTCAATTCATGATTAAAAACACAACTTTGTGTGCTAATTTCTGAATGCACCATGTGATAACTAAACATCAGATACAAACACATACATACACAAGAACACAGACACACCCTGTGGATCCCCAGACTCTTCCCGCCGTGATGCAGCCAGTACAGATACAGAGGTTTGCCAAGCAGCAGCACTGGCACCGACAGCAGCGCCACCACCACCAGAAACACCTGCAGTCCCATCTGTCACAAGAACATGAACACATGCACAGATATCAGCGGCTTTCTGCTGTGGGCATTTCGAGTGCTGTTCTTTCTTGGTTTTAGTCTTATCTCTCTGGCAGACAGTTCTTCATCTTAGTGCAGATTAACTATACTATACTACACTATACTATACTAGAATACGCTTACTACACTATACCATACTATACTACACTATAATACGCTACGCTACATTATACTATACCATACTATATTATAATACGCTACACTGTTCTATACTATGCTATGCTATAATACACTAACTATACTATACTTTAATACGCTACACTGTACTATAATATACTATACTGTACTATATTATACTATACTATGTTATATTATGCTATATAATATACTGTACTATACTATACTGTACTATACTATGTTATATTATGCTATATAATATACTATACTATACTGTACTATACTATGTTATATTATGCTATATAAAATACTGTACTGTACTATACTATAATGTACTATATTATACTATACTATGTTATATTATGCTATATAATATACTGTACTATACTGTACTATACTATGTTATATTATGCTATATAATATACTGTACTATACTATACTGTACTATACTATGTTATATTATGCTATATAATATACTATACTATACTGTACTATATTATGTTATATTATGCTATATAAAATACTGTACTGTACTATACTATACTGTACTATATTATACTATACTATGTTATATTATGCTATATAATATACTGTACTATACTGTACTATACTATGTTATATTATGCTATATAATATACTGTACTATACTATACTGTACTATACTATGTTATATTATGCTATATACTATACTATACTGTACTATACTATGTTATATTATGCTATATAAAATACTGTACTGTACTATACTATACTGTACTATATTATACTAAACTATACTATAATACGCTACACTATACTATACTATATAATATGCTACACTGTACTGTACTATACTGTACTATACCATGCTGTAATACGCTAACTATACTATAATATACTATACCGTACTGTACTATACTATGCTATAATACGCTAACTATACTATACAACTCTACACTAAACTATACTATATTATACTATACTATAATAAGCTACATTGTACTATACTATACTGTACTATACTATAACATGCTAACTATACTATAATACACTATTCTGTACTGTACTATACTATGCTATAATACGCTACACTATACTATATTATATTATACTGTACTATACTTTACTGTATTATACTATAATACACTACACTGTACTATACTACACTATATAATACTATACTATAATATGCTACATTGTACTATACTATACTGTACTATACTACACTATGCTATAATACGCTAACTATACTATAATATACTGTACTGTGCTGTACTATACTATGCTACACTATACTATAATATACTGTACTGTACTATACTATTCTATTCATAAGAAGGAAGGTGTACCAAAGGGAGCTGTTCTTGGCCCACTGTTGTTCATTATTTACATAATACCCAATAATACCCCACATCAAATCTTTAATACACATGGCTTTAGTGACAACTTGTAAGAAGAAAAAGAATAATGATAATAATATATATTTTTTAATCTAATCTTGTCATTCACTAGGATCAATCTATATGACTTCTGCTCTAAGATAGCTGCTACTCATTCTAGTTCTTCTACTAGTTCTTCTTGAACTGTTAAAAATCTTCATTAGGTGTCATATTTGACTAATCTCTCTCATGTCATAGATGCAGAACGCATGCGCACACAATGAAGGGCGGCCATACATCACACACCTGGCCGGGATAAAGAGGTGAGGTGGCATTGGCCTGCATTAGGAACATGTTGATGAAGTGGATGAGGATACTCGGTGCCAGCTGTGAGTCTCGTGCTGTGTACGCCAGCCATTTGTAAAAGATCATAAAGGCCAAGTACCCAAAGAGGCAAAGCAGAAAGAGCAGCTCAGGAAGAAAAAGGAGATAGATCTTGTACTTCTGTCGGAAGTGCCTGGAGAGACATAGTGAAGAGAAGATAGATTTTTAGAAAGAGAAGGGAGAATTTGGAGAGAACAGGAGCAAAGAGAGGCTAAATGCAGAGGAAATGAGTATTGACTCTCTTCTGGTAGGTAGGTAGTTAGGTAGGTAGGTAGGTAGGAGTTTATTTATTTATTAATTTATACAGTATGATGTGCATCATACAGATCTTTCTGGCACTATTTGATGGCCGAATATTAAGCATATTAATTCCAACCCAAGCTCATTCTGGAAAGGTAGCCCCGCGGACGTTTCTGGAGACCGCGATTTACATGGCCGGAGGTACGTACGGCCGCGTTTATTTTTTTTTCGAGCGAACGCTGCGGGGCAGTGTGGTGCCGCTCCGCCGCTCCTCTTCGCGCTCGCCGGCCGCCGGCTCGCCTCCGAGTGGAGGGCTTTCCCGATGCAACCAGTTTGTCCGCTTAGCTCACAGCGTTGCGTCAGCGGAGCGGAGGCCCCAAAGAAGGAGGAGGAGAAGGAGGAGGCGGCCGCGGGGACGACGACCGGGATTGAGTACGGGGAACAGCGGTTCCGGAAACCAGGTAAGATGAAAAACGGAATCCGAAAAATAAGAGCGAGAACGCGGCGGGATCCGAAAACGCGGTCGAAATCGAAGACGAGGGCTTTTGCTTTTTTTTTCTTCTGGAAGGCTTTTGCGAACCGTCGCTCGGGTTTAGGGAAAGAGGAGGAGGAAGAGCAGGGCGGCCGAGTCGGCCGATCCGGCGGCTTTTCGCGCGAGAACGGCGCAGGCGCGAATGGCGCGCACTGCCGAGAGGCGCCCGAGACGCGAAAAAGCATGCACAGCGGCCTCTCACGGATCCGCGAAAACAAAAACCGCTCGAATACGTACCTCCCGGGATGTAAATCGCGGTCCGCAGAAACGTCCGCGGGGCTACGTTTCCACAATGAGCCCAGGTTGATTAATTCACAAGTATATACATTAATGAATATATAATCAAAGAATATATAATATATAATAAATGATACATAATGTATCTTAAGTATTCATTCATTCATTTTCCTTCAGCTTAGTCCCTTTATTAATCTGGGAGCACCACAGCAGAGGGAACCGCCAACTTATCCAGCATGTTTTACACAGCTGGTGCCCTTCCAGCTGCAATCCAGTACTGGAAAACATCCATACACTAATTCACACAGATTCACTATGGCCAATTTAGTTTAATTTAATTCAATTAACCTATAGCGCATGTCTTTGGACTGTGGGGGAAACTGAAGCACTTGGAGGAAACCCACGCAAACACGGAGAGAGCATGCAAACTTCACACAGAAATGCCAACTGATCTAGCTGGGACTTGAACCAGCGACCTTCTGGAAAATGAATGAATGAATGAAAACTATTATAAACAAATAGAATAAATAGAATAAATAACACAGCCCTGGAGTCCGTGAACCAGTTTGAAAACCCCTGTGTGCAACATATATTTATGTGTTAATATAATAATCAATGAGATGAACTGATGCTCACTCACAGGTGGTTAAAGACACTGAGCACAACACCGAAGCTCATGTGGACAACGCCGATGATCACAGACATCTTCATCTTGTAGGAGTTGAGGAAGGTAAGGCGGTTCACGGCCATGTTCCAGATCTACAGGTCAATCAAACACAACTAATCAAGCTTCAGCAAACAACAGCAGTCCATGACTCTGAGCCGAACACATCATTTTAGAAAGAGAGAGTGTGTGTGTGTACTCACTGGATCAATGCCCAAAGGATACGGCCCAGAGAAAACACCCGAAACATTGGGATTCAAGGTGAGTAACATATTTGATCGTAGAGTTTCATTTCTATGCAGTGGAAAAACAAGGAAAACAATCATTTGCAATGATTTGAATGACTATTTTAGAATATGCAAAAATGCAAAAGTGGAAATGAAGCACCATGGTACATCTGGAGACTCTAGTAAAGTAATGCATTGTGGCAATGTGCAATCAAGTAAGCAAATATAAGAGATTTATTTTAGGTTGCTGTCACACTAGGTTGCATTGCCTGCACCGACTGCAGCTGAAATAAGCACACTGATTATTGGAGATTTAATAATCAGGAATTTTAAGAGAAGAACTACAATGACATACTGCTTCCCTCATGCCACAGTTACAAATTTAAACAGATTCTCATCCATGTGGGGAAGAATGATATTCGGAAGGAACAGTCAGACCTGCTTAAGGATTTCTGTGAGCTCTTGGAAACTGCTTTAAGATTGAAAATGCACCCGTTCATCACTGAACAAGTTTGACCCTTTATTTTGGGGTGAGTCAGTCTTTGATCTCTCGACTGCAACTGGTTCACTGCAAAAAATGCTTTTCTTGCTTAGATTTTTTGTCTTATTTCTAGTCTAAATATCTAAAATTTCTTATATTAAAAAGCATTTTCTAGACAAGCAAAACAAATTGTCTTGTTTTGAGAAATTAAATGCCAATATTAAGTGAGTTTTTCCTTAAAACAAGCAAAATAATCTGCCAATGGGGTAAGCAAATTAATCTTGTTTTTTCTTTTGACGTAAGATTATTTTCCATTTTCCATAGGATCCATTTTAAGGTACTTTTATTTGTTTTTAAGTGTCTAAATGGTGCTGCACCCCTTTACCGCTCTGAGCTTCTCTGTCCCTACACACCTTATCGTTCGCTCAGGTCAGCCGACCAGCTCCTCCCGGGTGTGCCCAGGACCAGTCGAAAGCTCAGAGGGGATCGGGCTTTTGCTGTGGCTGCACCAAAATTGTGGAATGAGCTACCGTTGTACATTAGACAAGCCTCTTCTATCACTGTTTTTAAATCCCTTCTTAAAACCCACCTGTTCAATTTGGCTTTTAGTACAGTGTGAGATGTTGACATTTTATGTTTATTTATTTGTATTTTAAAGTTTGTTTTACTCTTTGTTGTCAGCACATTGGTCAACTGTGTTGTTTTAAAGTGCTTTATAAATAAATTGAATTGAATTGACCAATTTGTTCACAATTTAGCCGCTCACTTCTGTGATTTAGCACAACTGATCTCACATAATAAATTTACTATCCCAGAATTTTATGAGTCAGACTAATATTAGAGAATGATTTGCAGCCCAGTTCAGATTAAAAGTGCTCAATTAATTTAAATACAACAAATTCTGGCAACAAATGACCTAGGTGTCTATCAAAAGTGCTAGCGTGAAGCCAGTTTTAAGTGCCATAATTTATGCTACCAGTTGGTGACGCTATTTCTTTAAGTCTAAAGCCCAAAAGACCAAAATATACTTTGGTTTTTATAGCTGTGTCCCAAATGGCACACTATACACTATGCACTCATGCACTATGTACTTATGCACTTACACACTCAACAGGATAGTATATGTATGTAGTGGTGTCCCAAATGGCAAAAAAAATGTTTTTTACTAAGCGGAAATTAAAACCGTTTCCCTGATGACGTTTGCCAAATCAGTGAAATAAACGACCGAATTATCAAATAATACCTGCCGTGAGTATTGCCGCATTCACCATCGGGAGGCGCTATAATCACTCTCGTAGTAGAATTTTGCTTTCACTATCCAAAATTAATAAAGTTATTTAACATGTGCGTCCGATAGCTCCGCCCCTTCCGCTACGTAAGCAAACCTGCGGTCGTTGAGTGTGTGAAGTGTCCATCATTACACACTTCATTTTACTGGCTGAATGAGTGCATCATCCAGGTAATTAAAGTGCACTTATTATTTTAAGAGTTTTCAGTGTGAACACACTACTTACACTATTTATACTACAAAATGGCGTAGAATAGTGCATAAGTACGCGATTTGGGACGCAGCTTATGTGTATAGTAGGATCCCAAACTGAGGTCCAGAGAAACCCTCAGAGAGCAACAATGGGGCATTAAATATGTTTTAAAAATGTAATCATGCAAGTTAACAGACATTAAAGATTTTCCTAATAATTTTTAGACTGGTATGTAGCATACATTTTTCACAATCTAAAATAATTATATGACTATAAAAAGTATTTGTTACACAATTCAAATCAGAGACAGAACAAGCACAAAAGCTAAAGAAATCTGCACTGACTAACATTTAAATTAGATATCACTATGGTTTTAATATTATTTTAGAGAAAAAGAGGGTAGACAATGGTCTAGGTCGGATGACCTTTTCTAGTTTGCATGTGTTCTTAGCGTCTGTCAAAATATTATAACATTATCCTACTTCTCTATATGTGACATCAACTAAGGGTAAGCACAAAATTAATCTAAATCAGGGGTTTTCAAAGTGTGAGGCGCGCCTCCCCTGACATGCTCTGGCGCCCCCCAGGGGAGAAAATATATAATACAAATATAATTATTAAGTTTAATTATTATGTGTATTTTTATTATGTTTAAACGTTTTAATTAAACAAAGCTAAAAAAAAAATAATACGTCAAAAATAACAAAACCTTTTTTACCCAGAAGGCCATAGCTGTGAATTCGCTTCTGTTTGGCAAGCCTGCCAATACAGGTATATGCCTGCTAATTTACAGTCTATGCTGCTAATACAATGGATCGGTTTCTGAGACCCCCCGATTCAAAGCTTTCAAGTTCAGGGCTTAAACCCAAAAGACGACGATATGATGATCAGTATTTGAGTTTAGGATTTACGTGGACAGGACCAGCTGATGAACCACGACCTTTATGTGTGGTTTGTCAAGATATTTTGGCTAATGACAGCATGAGACCCGCTAAACTTCGGCGACACCTTGAAACCAAGCATTATGAGGTAGCAGGAAAACCTCGAGATTTTTGTGTGTGTGTGTGTGTGTGTGTGTGTGTGTGTGTGCGTGTGCGAGCGTGTGTGCGTGCGTGTTTGGGAGGAGGGGGGCACCAATGGATAAGTTGTCAAAAGGGAGGCCCACTGTATTAGACTTTGAAAAACCCTGATCTAAATATAATCCAAACATAATCCAATCAGATAATGTTACCATAAATGTGAAACAACATCAAAATAAACTTTGAAAAGTAGTTTTTATAGTCACACATCACAAACAAATGTAAATGTTTTAGTAGAAAAAAAAGTAGTTATATTAGATAACTGAATCTTGTCTTACGTCCACTCTTGTTCTGTGAACATGGCCTTGACGCTCCATGCTGAGCCAAAGATGTTGAGGGATTTGGAGAAACAGTCATTATAAATGAGCCCAGTGTATATGGAGAACAAGCCCATCATCAGTATGATGTACCGCCCGTCAAATAAGGTCATCCGGATCTGAACAGACATAAAAAGGTGTTAAAAGTCAAAGTGGAAATAGATTACAAAATGTATTTGTTTTGTGCTTTCAATACATAAAGAGTAAAGTCAGTATATATGAATGTGCTGTAATACAAAAGTAGATATATTAAAGAATGTTTAAAAAAACATGTAGAAATGATCTTCCTTAGTACTTTTTTCCTACTGTCAATTGCAACATTTGTCAAAATATCTTCTTTCTTGTTCAGCAAAAACAAAACCATGAGGGTGAGTAAATGGTCAATTCTCTTTTTTAGCTAACTGTTCCTTTAAGTAAAAAAAACCATCATCCCACTGTCCCTCCTGAGGCAATTATGAAAGAACTGACAATGCAATTCATCGACCGGCCACTAGAGGCTGGCTCCAAATGGGAGAAAATCCCCATAGACTCACATGTTAAAATGCCCAACCTTAAAGCAAGAAATAAAGGTGTCTACAGACTGTTACAAAAATGGTTTGTGTATATAGCTTATATTATAGTACATAGCATTTTTTGTACAACTCTTAATGTATATTAAGCGTTAAATTTCTGCAAGCTTAACGTGGAGCGGAAGGTTAATTTGCACTCTTCAGAAAGCTACAGGTGACGTTACATAATCTACTCCTGTTTTTTTGTTTTTTTTACAGTTTATGATCTGACCTCATTTCCTGGTCGTCTCCTTGTGTGATCTTTCTCAGTTAACACCATCCACAAAGCAAAGAGCGTCAAGACTGATCCATGACCAAGATCTCCGAACATGACCGCAAACAGGAAGGGAAAAGTGATAATGGTAAACGGAGCTGTGAAAGAAGCAACAAATAAATGATCACAAAATGAACCCGAACTGTAACACTGTTCCAAACATTCTAAACTACTGTTAAAAGGTTTAGGGTCGGTATGACTTTAAAAAAAAAAGAATACTTCTATTCAGCAGGAACACATTAAATTGATAATAACATTAGGATGATTTCTGAAATATCATGTGATACCGAAAGGGATAGTTTGTCCAAAGATTTACTAACACTCAAGTGTCTTTCTTTTGTCTGTTAAACGCAAAACATGATATTTTAAAGAATGTTGAAAACCAGTAGCTATTGACATCCATGATATGTGGAAAAAAATCCTACAAAACATAATGGCAAACCGTTCCTAACATTCTTCAATATATCTTCTTTTGTGCTCAACAGAAGAAAGTAACACAAACAGGTTTGGAATACGTGTATCTTGAGTATATAATGACAGATTTGTGTTTTTGGGTGAACTATCCCTTGAAAACTGACACTGTTCAAACAGAAAGCAGGTTTATAGTTCATTTTTATTGAGCCTGACAGCTACTAGTTGCTATTATAAGCTTGTTTATATGAAAAATACATTCATATAGTTTTAAAGCATTGCTTTGTTTTTCCAGTTTATCCAGCTGTTAATAACTGTTGCACTCACCTGGGCTGACCTCTCTGTAGTCACCCACTCCATAGGCTTCCACTATACTCTGAAAGCCTGAGGTAAACTTGTTGCTCCTTAAAAGTGTTGGTGGAGTGTCGCTGCTCGGGATACGGTTCACAAAAGATGGGACTGTGGCATCTCCTTTTCTCTATCAAGAAAGGTAAAACAGGCTTCAGTTACAGCTAATGATGGGAGACACTAATAAGCTTTTTAAAAAACTATGAACCAATAGAGTCATCTGCTTTGGAAAAACATTCAATCGTTATGCTACACATTGCTGACACCTGCTGGTCAGAACAGTTTAACATTTAACATTTAGGGCTCTATCATAGATATATACACTAGCATAGGGACCCTGAGCATGCGTCAATAGCGCCGCCACATTGGTACAGTGCTCCCAGGACAAATGTCATTCATCCGCACTAGTCAAGACAGTGTTATTACGTGAAGATGCGGGAATTTAGCGCTGTTTACGGGTGTAGTAACGAGGAAACAAAGAAAACAAAGCACAAAGGCAGAACATTTCATAGGTAATATTAAGTTTTTTCTGTTTTTGTATGTTCTAAACTTTTGTGCTAATCAGGTAACATTATTGATGATAATACAGTCACTACTGCATTCACCATACGCCAAAGCAGCTCCAACTAGCACTAAACACTCGGCTTATGCTAGTTTTGTTGAATAAAATCAGCAAACAATGCAAAAGAAATATGACAACGAGATGCTGTGCTGCCAGAAACCTGTATTATTGTCGGCTAGCGAAAGAGTCGTTCGGGGGATTCATTCACAAACGAATCACTCCCTCCATCAGTATGAGAAGTGAAAGCAGGAGAGGAGCTGTGTTTCAGGACATGATTAGATCAAATTTAACAGGGAGGGTGAATAGTACATTTCTGTACACACAAACACAAGCTTTTTGTCAGGAATGCCCGTGCGGCCACTGATCCATCAATGTAGAAAAGTGATGTAAAATTATAATTTTCGTAATTAGAAAAAAAAAAATTACACACTAACATCCAGGAAAATTCCCCATCACAGATACATGTGTATATGTGTATATCTCTGGCTTTGGATGGCCACAGTCCTCCACTGTACCTTGATCCCGCATTCATTTCAAAGGAGCGCTACCCTGTAGCAAGATGGCGGCGCTATTGACGCATTCCGTCCAATAGACAACGATAGGCCAGGCAACATCTAGTGTATATATCTATGGGGCTCTATTTTGACGATCCATGCGCAAAGTGCAAAGCACAGAGCGCAAAAGCAATTAGGGCGTGTCAGAATCCACTTTTGCTAATTTAAGGATGGAAAAATCCCCTTTGGACCTCGACGCATGGTCTAAAAGGGTTGAGCTTATTTTCTTAATGAGTTATAGGTGTGCTTTGAATCAGAGTCTCATCTCCCATTCCCTTTAAGAGTCAGTTGCGTTGCGCCAAAACGCATTTTCTATTTACATGACAGACGTTGTAAGTGGAAAAACTGAACCCTACACTAGCAAGAAAACAGTTAAACAGAGCATCTACAGCGCGAGAAAGAGAGATAGGGCCTTCTCATTATCTACTTTCACTTTTGCTCTCATGGATAAGGAAACCTCGTTGGCCAGACATCAATTAGCCTATGAATAAATAATTTTGTTTTATAAGCTTAAAGCTTTAAACATTTGTTTCAAAACTAGTTCTAAATTCAGTTCAAATTTCCAGCAAACGAATAAATGAACAACAATAACGAAGTGTGTTTAAACAACTGAGTTATATCCTAAAACACATGCTGTGCCCCATATGGTCTAAAACCTGACAGGTGGGCAAATCTAAGCTTGTTTTTTAATAAAACAAATATAAATATGGATATAATAAATAATACTGCTAATTATAATAACATTATACAAAAGCAAATAGTTATGAATAAATTGAAAAAGCCTCCCGAGATGAAGAAGGCATGAAAGTGTGGTTTTTATATTTATGTAGGCTAGAAAATAATATGTTTTGTAATATTTTAATCCTTTATATTTATATCCTATATATATCCCTAATATTTTAATTACATTTCATTTGTAAAGATATTTGCGTATTGGTGTACACCCTGTCTGTATTAAGCAATGTGTAAGCGAGGCGCACAACTAACGCGCTCTGCGCTGGACAATAGACCAGCTTTGATCAGATCTATTTGACCCTTCTCCTCAAAATAGCAACGCGCCAGCAATGCGCTTCAATACGCCTTCTTTTTTTAGACCAGAACGCTTATATGAGCACACATATGAGCGCACATGCATTTGCTATTTAAACAGCGTGACGCAAAACGTCAAAATAACTCTTGCACCAAGCTGAAACTAGCAAAAAACGATTGCGTTGCGCCTTGTGCCGCATTGCGCCGGGTGTATGATAAGGCCCTTAAACTGTTAAAAGCAACTTAGTAAAATGTAATTTTATGCACAGTAATATGCATTTTACAGACAAACATATTTTTAATGTACAAATAAATCGATCAAGTTTAGGATATTAAAGAGACAGTTCACTCAATAATGAAAATTGACATTGTTTATTCATCTTCATTCATTTGTTAAGCAAAAAAGACGATATACTGAAGATTCTTAGAAAAAAATTGTGTTTCTTTCTACTATGGATCTCACTGGCGGTTTTTCCCCAACATTCTTCAGAATATCTTGTTTTGTGTTTAACAGAGGATTAAAAAAATTCCAAAAAGTTTGGAAACACTTTTATTTGATTAAATGGTGAGAAATCTTTCATATTTCAGTGAACTATCCCTTAAGGGCAGCATACATACCCTTTAAAAAAGATAATTAATAAAGAATTAAAGTAATAGAATAACAAAGGCAAAATAATATTTAAAGTATTTTCTTTAAGATAAACAGTGTAAAAATGTTTAAAATAAATAAAATTATTATAATAATTTCAATACAATAAACATATCAAATAGGAAAGAAATGATCAAATAATTGATTTAAATAAATGTATGAATAAAATTTGATAAAAAAACAAACAAACTAATTAACAAAATTAGATTACAATCAATATTAAATTTGAATAAAATATGCAAATTATTTTGTGGAAAATAGTACAGCACTGGTGGGGGCACTACTGCGGCCTCCCACCAGTGCCGATATACAACCATATCGCACTGCTACTCGTGTGATATTGCTCATATATATATATTGCTCATATATATATATATATATACATATTTATTTTAAAAAAAATTCACAGAATAAGTTACATTTTAAACTATACAGGTAGTCTGTGTCATCAAAAAGACTGAAACCCCATGCTCTTGTAGGCACATCAATCCTTCCCAATGGCTTCTGCTACATCAGTAATTAGTTTAAAATCTATACCCCTGTTACTCACCGACCCCTCCTCGAGCGCCCGCCGCAGGTTGGCCAGGTCACTGACAGGACACCACACTTCAGCAATGAGACACTTATTTGTGACATCGAAGCTGCAGAGGTTGAGGATGTGATAAATGGCCTTCATCTTCTTCACCTGCAGAACCCAAGACTGGGCTGACTCTGAAGCTTTATGCAAGACCTGCTTCAAGTAATCCTCAGTGCGGTGCAAAACCTAACCAAAGACAGCTTCATTAACATTTAATTATGACAGCGCAGGCTCACATGATTAAGCGGTTTCTCTAGTGAATTTGATAATGTCAGCATTATTTAGCTGAGGACAAACCAATAGCAGAGTTCAATAACAAAAAGCTCCCCAAGGAGGCACTAAAGCTGCTGAGGAAAGCAGAAGACGTACATTGTGCAAGTCTTGAATGCGTGTTCTCAGGCTGTCCATAACATCGGCTCTTTCCTCGTCTGTCTCGGGATGAGGGTAAATATGACAGTGGTAACTGCAAAAATGATACAAAAAAACAAACAAAAAAAAAAACAAATGTGACTGCTGTTTTCTATGATATATACAATTAAAGTGAGAATTATTAGTCCTCCTGTGAATTATTTTTCCCAAATATATTTTCCAAATGATGTTTAAGCAATGAGATTATCACAGTATTTCTGATATATTTTTTTGACCAGAAAAACAAAAAAACATTTTAAAGTCAATTTTATTAGCCCCCGATTTAAGGAAGGTATGAAGTTTTACAATGAGGAACTAAAAGAATGAATACCAGCAGCTATCCAAACTTTAATGCCCAAGATACTACAGAGAGTGTGGAACAAGTTTGCGTATGGGGCTGATGTCACTCGAGTGTCAGGAGGGGTCATATTGAACAGCTATAAACTTGTTTTCTACTGAAAAAAACTTTAAGTACTCTTCAAATTGATTAATTACCCAAGGTTTTATCATGTTTCTCCATCCATGTATGATTAAATACAGATTTTCAAAGCTGTGTTATTCTTTTTGAATCACCCTGTACAATAGCTTGCCTAATTACCCTAGTTCACCTAATTAACCTATAAGCTTTTAAATGTCACTTTAAGCTGAACACTAGCATCTTAAAAATATCTAGTAAAATATAATATACTATCTTCATGACAAAAATGACAAAATCAGTTATTAGAACTAAGTTATTAAATTACTTACTAAATATATAAAGAGTTCAGATGCAACAATGCCTAAAAGCCGTTTGAAATTTCCTTAAAAAATTATTAAATCCTGTCTTTAGGTTCAGTAATTTCAAGTTTATGGTGAAGAATACACTCTTTTAAAGGTCTTAGAAATGAAAAAACCCAACATAAACATAGAAGTCTAAGAAAAATGCTAATTTTCATTGAAAATTAAAGATGGCACTTCAAATGTCACTTTAGACAATTCTTTGTTTTTTAACAAGGTAAATTTTCTTTTGCATCAAAACCAGCTAAATGCATAAGTGCTTTTTTTGCAAAACCCTCTAAATCCACCAACTGAAACAAGACAGTGTAATTAGTTCAAAATCACTAAAGATGCAATTAAATTATTTTACCAAACATAAAGAACATTACAAAAACCACCTAAAATTTAAAATATATAAATCTGTCAAGTAATTGGTGGTTCATTCCGCTGTGATAATAGAAAAAGCAGAAGAAAAATGAATGAATGAAATCTGTCAAGTAAGTGCATTAATCAATAATTTTACAATTGACACAATTAAATCTTAACAATCTGTTGTCATTTCTGATATTTGGGATTTAGATTTAATGTAAGTAGAACAATGTAAACATTGTAAATCCTGTAAATTAAGCTTGGTAGATTTAAATACAGTAGTGTAAAAACACTGTGAAACACCAATATCTGTGAATATAGTCCATTAATATGAAGAGCTTATCAGATTTATAGGTATTATAAAGTAATATAAATAATGTATAGTTTTATCCATTATAATTATCTTTTTTTTAAATAGCTTTAAATTAGCAAATAAAATACAAGGTAGGATTTATCATCTAAACAGGATTTAGATGATTAAAAGCAAATCTATTTGTTGATGGTGTACTACGTGCCTAAAGCATTCACTCATTATCTCATTTTTGGCGGAAGTGGCGTTTAGCAGCTTTTGCATCTAAACTCTTCCTATATATATCAGTTATTATATATAGTCAATAGACCTTATACTTCAATTGGAAGTCTCAATGTTTTTGCCGTTTTGCACAGTTAGTGCCATTTTAAAACTGTAAGTCTACTTTTGAGTCACTGATAAATTGGGTCAGTGTTTATGATGCTAAAAAATCGTGGGATAAAAAAAAACTTATAAAAATACTATTTGTGTTCATGTTGTTTAAAATAAGTAAATAAATATTTTTTTTACAAAACAATATATTAAATATTGTTCTTATTTATTTATTTTTAGCTTTTACAACTATCATGTTAATATTCATTTACAAATATTTCAAGTTAAAAAAATGTATAAAGTCTGTGTTGTCTTGAACAACCTTTAAAGGAATAGTTCACCCAAAAATGAAAATTCTGTCACCATTTAATCACCCTTCACTTGTTTTTTTTCTGTTGAATTCAAACATTGCATGCCAGCATTCTTCAAAATATCTTCTTTTGTTTGATAAACTTATACAGGTTTAAATCCACATGAGGGAGAATATATAATGGGGCCATTTACCTTTTTGGACTGTAAAAAATGCTTGGTTCCATACAATCCCTTCATGTTTTCCCAACACAAATCAATTAAGTTAACTTAATAATTATGATATTAACATAAACAATTAAGTTGTCCCTGAAAAAACCTAAGAATTGTGTTGTTTCAACTCTTTTTAAATAAGTAGTTTAAACAAGCAGGAAAAATGTGGGTAAACTGTGCTTTTTTAAACTTATTAAAGGTTTAAGAAACCCTGGAGTACTTTTTTTGAGACTTTAACAGATTTGTGTGTGTTGAGCATCATTTAAGACAATGTTAGCACCTGTCAGCTTTAATTGTGGGGAAAACTGGATAATTTTGAGCTTTTGTCAGCTAATTTCATCTTCCAGGTTTAAAATAATTTTGCTTGTGAAGTGATGATGATGCGTCGGTTTCTCAATATTACTCATGGCTGAGTTTTCTTATTCTATGAGAAGACCCTGCTGCTTAATTATTCATGACTGCACATGCTTTCCGATGACAGACTAATATGAGTAAACCAGAGACCTGCCAAGCTGTGAGACAGCACACGACATGCTTTATTTAGCCATTCATGAAGGGTCGTATGTGTCTGTTTCCATGATCCACGATTTGTTGCATGACTTTATCCACGATGCTGTGAGGGCCACTGATACAACCAACCTGTTTGTGTGCAGCAAGCATTTTTGTCGGGAGAGCTCAGGGCTTTACATTAAGGGTGCTTTCACACCTACACTTTTGTTTCGGAACGTATCTCGTTTGCCCAGTTAGCGCGGTTCGTTTGACATATGTGAACAGGGCAATCGCGTCTGTTCCGCGCCAAAGTAATCGCTCCGAGATCGCTTGAATGAGGTGGTCTCGGCTCGATTGAAACGAACCCTGGAGCGGTTCGATTACAGTGAGAAAGCGATGCGATCCGAGTGCGGTTATCACAGTGTTTTATATGTAATAGGCTTACAGCCATATGAAGAGAGAATTATGAGTATGGTGGGAAGTTTTGCGAGTCTCCGGATGCCCGCAAACGAGTGATGATCTCCGGGTAATCTCGCGTCTCCCTCCCGGTCCTCAAATAGGCATCGTCGCGCACCCTTCTCACCCCTCCCCACCGCATCTCTCCGCAGAGACTGGTCCAGAAACTGCTGGTCCAGTCGGGCCAGTAGAAAATGTCCTTAGCGTTGAACCCTGTTATATGAAATTACGAATAGCCTGCCATAGATGTCACAGCATTAAATTACTTACTGTATATTTCTTTTTGCATTTTAACTTTGTAAACATTAAAACCATGCGTCTCCTCACAGACTGTATTGGATTTTTTTTTTATCTTGAGCTCACTCTGCTCACAGCGCTCCATGCCCATCTCAGAAATTTATTTAAATAATTCTGTAGTAGACTTAAATGACTTTTTCATGACTTTTTAACATATTGTCATATTGTTGACTATGATCTGACAGCAAAAGGTTTCTGCAAGAACATGTTTTGTTTGAGCCTCTAAAAATTGAAATATGATGAATACTGTCTCCATTAAAGCCTTCACTCACCAGTCACAAATCTTTTGCACCTTCTGCCCAATCTGATCGCCCCAAAAGGAGATGAGAAACACCACATTCTTCCTGATCTCCCCCTGAAGCACACAAACACAACACAGAGCCTCTGTAAACAGAGCGAATCATCCATCTGAATACATTAACACGCTCTCGCTGCGGCAGAAGGCCATCATCTGAAACTGTGAAACAAACACACAGACGTGATTGAACCATGCGGCACATTCTGATAAACCAAATCACTTGAATGGCCAATCGAAAACATAATATTTTTAGAGGTTTGCCTACTGTGTCGAGATCAGCCAGGCTCTCGTCCACTTCTGCGTAGCTGAGAATGGTGTAACCTTTACAGACTCGCCACAGCATGCGTTCAAACGCCTCCACCTTCACCCGCTGGATCAATCCTGAGACAAACCTGCAGCACACACACAGGAAAAACAGTCAGAACACAAGCATCAGATGAAAACATGGAAGATCTTTGAAACCATGGACTAATGTTGTGAAGGTACTTCATACGATACTCTAAAAATATGTTACAATACAATACCTTAAAAAAGTACTGATATTTGATTAGTACTTTTCCCAATTGTGTCAAATATGTTTCTGATAAAATTTAGAAATCTTGCAACAGTGTTAGTTTAAATTATTATATTTAGGCATTTCTTAATCTGCTTATTTGACAGTGAGTTAAAAGCTCAAGCACAGCTTAAGATGATTTTTTTACTACTTTAAAAGTCCTGTCAGGGCAGTTGTTCAGATTTTCACGTGATGTGCCAAAATTTTCAGTGGCACAGGAATGAAAAATAAAACTAAAGGCTTTATAAAAAAATGTTTCGCACCATGTAATTCTTAGAGTACTGGAATAGTTAGCCCTTTTTAGTAGTGTTTTTTCCAGTAGCTACTACTTTATTTCTACCAAACAGCAGTGTAGCCTGACTATATAGAATAAGATTTACCACAGTTTGAAAAAGCATGGCTTTGAAACTGCTAAAATGTTCTGTCATACCATTCCTGCCGTACATGTAATTTGTTGTTTTTCTAAGTATCATCAAAGACAATTTTTTTTTTTGTAACAACAGTATTTCAGCAGCCCAAAATTTGTAAAACAAATCACTTAGGCACATACATTCAAGCGTGCTTAGACTTACATTAAATCTAAAGAAAAAAGATATCCAAAGATGCCTTTTCAAGTTATAAAGACACCTGTTTTTTTAAACTAATGAAGATAGCAGATTTCTTTATGCTTACTGTTCCAAAATATTTTAAACGTTTTATAAAATCAAATATATTTTGTGCAACGGGGAAATTTTGTTTTTGTTTTCACCCAGACATTTAACATATTTTAGAGCAGCAATCACAATTTTGTGATACCATGATATTTTTATCCAATGTTATCATACCGTCAGAATCCTATACCGGGCCTTGCCTAAGTTTGACAGTTGCTATATTCCTGCTATCTGAAGCAGACAGCACTTTCTTACAGTGTAAAATTTGACTTTAGGGCCGTACTTACACTAGGTACAGTTGCCTCGAACCGGGCCAAAGCACGCTTGTCCCCCCTCCCGTCTCCCCCGACGGCCCGCGCTCACACCATATCGGGCCTTGGCACGCTTACGTCATCGCTGCTGCTCTGTTTAGTGAGAAGCGATCTCTATGGCAAGCCTTTTTAGCATTTAAATCTTTGTTCTGACTCCATAAATATATTTAGAGATATCTCTAATTATATTTTGACTAGTCATAATTATAATTCCACTACTCAGAATGACAATTAGAGATATCTGCAATTACAATTGTACTAGTACGAAATCAGATTGGAGATATCTGCAAATATATTATGACTAGTCAAATTCCTCCATAGACTTCCATTGAAAAATATTTGCAGATATCTCTAAATGAGTTTTGATTAGTCACAATTGTAATTAGAGATATCTCCAAATGAATTTTGACTAGTAGCAATTGTAATTAGAGATATCTCTAACTGAGTTTTTACTAGTCATAATACATTTGGAGATATCTTTAATTCCTCATATTTAGAGATATTTACAAATATATTTGAAGATATCTCTAATTAATTTACTAATAGTCGAATTACAGTTGTAGATATCTTGAATTGGATTTTTGACTAGTCGAAATTCATTTGGAGATATCTCTAATTACAATTGTGACTAGTCAAAACACATTTAGAGATATCTGCAAATATTTTTCAATGGAAGTCAATGGAGGAATATGACTAATCATAATATATTTGCAGATATTTCCAATCTGACTAGTCGAATTATAATTATGACTAGTCAAAATATAATTAGAGATCTCTCTAAATATATTTATGGATAGTCAGAACAAGGTTTAAATGCTAAAACGGCTTGCCATACGCTCTCACCCAGTAGCACAGTGGAGATTTCTCTAGTTATATCCTTTCAGTCGTTTGTTATGCAGTGACATGCAGTCAAATATTTCGCCAAACAGTCCTTAGGGATGCGGTGACACACAGTCAGATATTTCGCCGGACAGATCCGCCACTTTTGACGCTTATAAACAATCATAAAGTTCTCATGCTGCAGGAATGAGGAGGTCTGCTGAAGCCGCGCAGCTGACGTGCAGTGAGGGGTTTGCGTCTTTAATAAACGACGGCAGTTTGCGATCACTGAACAGTAAGAATGATTAATAAATCCATATGAAACAACCCCTTAAAAGTCACATATCGCTTTCAGTTTCGGGCTTTGGCGCGTTTTGCACTCACACACAAGCGTACCGCTCCAAAGCCCAAGTGATCCGCGCTCAGGCACACCTCTTCCAACCGGGCCAGGGCCGGCCAAGTGAACCGTGCTTGAGCCCGATTCAGCGCACTCACACTTCTCAAACGATCCGGGAAACGGGTCTGGGCACGGTACGGATGGCATAGTGTGAGTAGGCCCTAGGTGTCATTCACACAGAAAGAATGCATTTTTAAATTCCAGTGGAAAACTTGGAGGCGGGGCAAGCGTTGTGAGCTTCTGTTTACAGTAGCAATTTGGCATGACAATTGTTTTACTGGACAAATTTAGACACAAAGTCATGTTATGTGGAAATGGCCCTTAAAAAGTGTAGTACACTACAGCCATCATTAGGTATATCACACATCTCACTGTTTTATGTTATTACGCCAATACAATCTTTCAAGTTGAAATTCAATCCATAAAGTACTCTAACAACTAGCAATTAACCTTATGTGAGAGCTTTAATATAATATAATACAAAAAATCTGTCAGTTTTTTTTGAGAAAATGTTCTGACTATTTTAACGATCTAGGCAGAGAGGCTGTAGGGCGCAAAAGCATTAGCATTGTCCGAATCTACTTTTGCGATTTTTAGGTTGGAAAAATAGGCTCTGCGCCGCAGCCCTTGGTCTAACAGGGTTGAGCTTATTCTCTTAGTGAAGTTTATTTATAGACAAATTTCGAGAGGATCACGTGCTTATGATTGTTCACAGCTGTTCTAACTTTAGCTAATGACTGATCTTCCTATCAGACGATCCTTAACTCACTATAAATAACCAGACTTTTCTTATCTCAATATCTTCGTCTTGAAGAAACCCCCCCACCCAACCGTACTTTCCCTCCTTTCAAACGGGCGTCACGGTGGCCAGCGATTAGCGCTGTTGCCTCACAGCAAAAATGCCCCTGGTTTAATTCCTTTCCAAACCAGACGGCATTTCTGTGCGGAGTTTGCTCGTTCTCCCCGTGGTCGCGTGGGTTTTCCCCGGGTCCTCCGGTTTCCTCCCACATTTTTAAAAAACAAACATTCTAAACAATTAATCCAAATACTTTAGCTAAACTCCGAGTACACCTTTCAGCATCCATATCTGACACTTAGCTACAACAAGCAAGAGGGGGAGTCATCGAGATCTACCTGAGCTCAAACTCCCCTCTCGCCTTGCAATGGGAGGGAGCCCAGGGCTCGAGGATCTTATAAGCTCAGGGCTCTCTCCCGGGACAGCACGCCAAACTAACTTTATTATCAATCATCAGCTTAGTGTGCACTCTTGAAAAGAGTTATAGGTGTGTTTGGGGATTAAACCAGTCGGAGTCTCATCTCCCATTCCCTTTAAGAGTCAGATGAGTCGCTCTATGGTGCATTTGCTATTTACGTGGTGGGCTTTGTAAGTGGAAAAACTGAACACTTTAAAACAGTTAAGAAAACAGTTAAATAGCATCTGCAGCATGAGGATAATGAGGCGCCTTCATTCAGCCTTTACTTTCAATTTCTCTATTTCGTGGATAAGGAAATGGTGTTGTATGCTCTCCACTGAAGACACCCATTAGCCTACATAATTAATTTCGCTTATTAAGCGCAAAGATTTGTGTTAAAACTATTTCTAAATTCAGTTCTTATTTCCAGCAAACAAATAAATGAACAATAATAACAAAGAGTGGTCAAAAGACTGAGTTATATCCAAACACACATGCTATTGCCTCATATGGTCTAAAACCTGACAGGTGGACAAATCTAAGCTTGTTTTTAATAAAACACAATTTAAATATGCATATAATAAATAATACTAATGATAATAATAACATTAGACAAAAGCAAATTGTCGTGAATAAACTAAAAAAAGCCCCCTGAGATAAACAAGGCATGAAGGCAGTGGCTTTTAAATTTATCTAGAATGAAATAATTTTTGTAATATTTTAATACTTTGATTCTTTTTCATTTGTAAAGATAATTGTGTATTGCTCTACATCCTACAAGTTTTAAGCAATGTTTAAGCGAGGCATCTTACATTTGTTGCCCTTTAGCTCTTGCCAGTCTGATATATTTGAATACAATAAAATATTTGTCTTTGACATCATAATTTCATTGTTTTAACTAGCAAATAGCTAAAACATCTCTCATTAAAGCTTATACCCTTACTTGTAAAGCTACTTTTTAGCAGAGTAGTTTCAGAATAGCTTCCTCAAAATGGATAACTTTTTTTTTATAAATGTCAGTATTAAAGATGAAACTACTAGCCTACCTTACATAAAGTCTGCAATTCATTCACTCATTTTCTTTTCGGCTTAGTCTCTTTATTCATCAGGGGTCGCCACAGCGGAATGTCTTTCCAGCTGCAACCCATAACTGGGAAACACTGATACACTCTCAATCACACATACACTATGGACAATTTAGCCTACCCAATTCACCTGTACCGCATGTCTTTGGACTTGTGGGGGAAACCAGAGCACCCAGAGGAAACCCACACGAACACGGGGAGAGCATGCAAACTCCACGCAGAAACGCTAACTGACCCAGCCGAGGCTTGAACCAGCAACCCTCTTGCTGTGAGGCGAACATGCTACCCACTGTGCTACTGTGCAGCCAAAAGTCAGTAACATAAATACAAATATTTAATATAAAAATACAACAGAACAAAATTTATAACAACCTTTTTTTAAGTGGGACAACACTAAAGTGTTTTATGAAGAATGAGAGTGTGTTTGTGACTCACCCGAGTTTGGCACCAAGTCTCTGCATACTGGTGCAGCCTGTCACCGATTCAGTCTCCAAAGACGGAAACTCTTCATACTGAGGGCCCAAGGCTTCATGCTAAACAAGACACACACATGCGGAGCAGTGAAATAAACCTATAATACTGCTTTCATTTTATTATTCTGTTTACTCTATTTACATTACAATGTGACATTGTGGTTTTTTGTTAGTAAAATATAATGCCCAGTAATGATAATTTATGTAATGATAGTTTATATAGCGGGGGAAAAAAACTGTTGACCATATTTAGCATTTTAGAATAATCTATTAAAAGATCATAGTGATCAAAGAATTTAAAATTAACTTTAACCTTTTCTTATAAACCTTCATACCTTGTCATTAACCCAATTCAAGTTTTTACTATGTTTAATCATTTTAAACATAATACACTTGATGTTTTATCACTTCATAATACTGGTGTTTAGCTTAAAGTGCCATAACTAGGTTAATTAGGCAAGTTAGGGTAATTAGGCAAGTCATCATATAACAGTAGCTTGTTCTGAAAGAAAACATATTGCTTAAGGGGGCTAATAATATTGTTTCCAAAATTTAAAACTGCTTTTATTCTAACCAAAATAAAACAAACAGACTTTCTCAAGAAGAAACAATATTATAGGAGATACTTTGATGTGCTCAATTAGGAAATATTTACAATACAGATACAAAAATGCAAAGTTTGTTGTTGTTATTATTATTATTATTATTATATTATTATTCTGATCATCAAGGTTTCAAGAAATTGATCATATTCTTTAAACGTAAGGGTTATTTTCAAAAATTTAAAAAGATAAAGAGACCATAAAATTTTTATTATCTCTGAATTTACTGCATTTACTATAGTAGGTTTGAGTTAAATGCTTTTTTATGTTTTATTCAATAAAAGTCTGTTAAATTGCCTTTTAAATATCAAATATATTAAAACAATATTTAAATATATAATAAATATTATATATACTATTTAAAAAAAAATTACATTTGTGCCAAAAAATAACATTCATTTTTCTTCAGCTTAGTCCCTTTACTTATCTGGGGTCACCACAGCGCAATGAACCACCAACTTAACCAGCATATGTTTTACACAGCGGATGCCCTTTCAGCCGCAAACCAGTACTGGGAAACACCTATACACACTCATTTACACACACATTCCTACACTATGGCCAATTTAGTTTATTCACTTCACCTATAGCGCATGTGTTTGGACTGTGGGGGAAACCGGAGCGCCCGGAGGAAATCCATGCAAACACAAGGAGAACATGAGTACTCCACACAGCAATGCCATTTGACCCAGCTCGAACCAGTGACCTGCTTGCTGTGAGGTGACGTTGCTAACTACTGAGCCGCCGCGCCACTAATTGGACATAATAACAAATTCTTTTATCAAGGTTATTCCTTCAAGTGTTTATATTTATTATTTGACTTTTGAAAGAATTTAAATTTGTACTTTGTTTTGCTAAAATAGATTTTTTTGACCATTTTAAGCTCTAAATGACAATTCTATCTTATATATAGAAGATATGTTGTGGGTAGTTTGTAAATCAAGACATAAGTTATGTTTTACTTGAGCACAAATCATTCATTCATTCATTTTCTTTTCCGCTTAGTCCTTTTATTAACACAGGGTCGCCACAGTGGAATGAACCGCCTAAACACAAATCTATAATTGTATATCCAGAGAAGCGGAGAATTTTTAAGTGGTCATTTTAATTTTCATAACTTTTCCATAGCTAATTCCCTAGTAGCAAAGAATTCTGGCCCAGATTTGGCATAAAGCTGGCACAGCAGGCATTCATCCGGCACTGGCATACAGCATGTGGGCCAAACATGGCCCGGGTTTGGCAGAGGTGGTACCGTCTTTAAGGCGGCACACAAGATTTGGGCCAGATGAAAAACGTAGCATTTGGCCCAGATTTAAAAATTTGATAAGTGGGCCATGTGAGTTTGGCCAGTCTTGACCCACATTTAAAATACACTAAAATCATTTTTGAGTAAAGAAAAAAAATTCTACCAATCAGGTCACTTTGAGAAAAAGCGTGCCCATAGTGTGCCTAAAGCGCATCACTCCATGGGACACACCAACCTATCTGGCCCAGTTATGAGTTATTAACTTGGCTGAGACTTGGCCCAGATATGGTCTGTGTTTGGCCCTTGTCTAGAAGCCAGATTTGGTCCAGTCATGTACCGTAATTCACTGCGGCATGTGGGCCAAGCAAAACCTGATTGTGTGGGCCAGAGCTGGGCCAGAGAAATTTTGCTATGTGGGAAGTTTTGCAGATCAGCTGCCACATTAGTGTGTGTTAATAACTGTTCGGTGTGATCATCGCACCCTGGAGCGGCTGTGCACGAATGAGCGTGTGATCCTCAGCATGTGTGTGTACTCCATCAGCTCCAGCAGGTTCCTCTGCAGCTTCTCTTTATTCTTGGCTACTTCACTGAGCTCCACCTCCAGCCTCTGCAGCTGCTCCTGAAAACACACCAGTAGCAAAACACATCAGACTTATACATTCAAGACCGATATACCACACTCAAACATCAATAAAACCCATACATGACTGGCCAAAACAATCACTTAACATGCTAACAGGTCATATTAAACTGGGATTTTATTGCTAAAAAAGCCACGCATGATTAATTCGCCACGCATAATCAATCCCCTGCCCCATTCGCAGAGGGCTTTCTCTTACCAAATTATACATTATACAATCAATCACTGTAGGCAACTTGACACGGTCAATTACCAACACTAGGTCTTGGCGCTGAAAACTGGAGCTCTAAAATACAATCAATTACCACAAACCACTGAGCACACAGCCATTAAGCCAGAAATATACACATTGTAATTGAATAAAACTGCATGGGAGGGAGTTTAATTCTCATTTAGGGGTGTAGAATCTTAGGCTGTGCTTACACGGGCACAAAAATACAATGTGCATTTAATTTTGACAAACATTAAGTTGTTTCTCACACGTTAAAGGGACAGTTCAGCCAAAATGGTCAATTCTGTCATTAGCCACTCACCCTCCACACTTCAAAACTTAAAGGAAATTAAAATATAGTTTATTAGATGTTAGTAGGAGTATTGTTAGTTATAAGGTTATCTATAAGTTAACGTGTTTCAAACCAGTGACAATATTTATGCTTAAAAGATATAAAACTGATATAAACATCTCCTCATTGTTCAGTTTCTCATCAAATCTTCTGACCAATCAAAAGCTCTAAAGTATCTGACATGTCCCGCCTCCTTTAAGACTCTTATCATTTGTTGCGCATTAGCTCAAACACTCTCATTGGCAGAAGTGTGATAAAACAAAAAGCTATTGGCTGTTTTTTAAAGGGGAGGAGCTACTCTATGTCCCACCGTCTCTTCATATTTCAGTTGAGATTATGTCAAAGAGCAAATAAAATGCACATTTCAAAGCACTCATGGGACCTTTAAAGAGTTATTTTCTCCCAAATATGATAAATGACTCGCTATTTACTCACCCTTCAAGTGGTTTCAAACCTTTATCTATTTCTTTCTTCTACTGAACACAAAAGAAGATATTTTGAAGAAAGCTCAAAACCTGTAACCATTGACTTCCATAGAAGAAAAAGCTTCACTTATAAGTTCTTACCAGCATTCTTTAAAATATTTCCTTTTGTGTACAATAGAGTAAAAAAACTCTTAAAGATTGAAAACAAGTGAAGGGTAAGTAAATAATGACAGAATTTTCAGTTTTGGGTGAACTATCCCAAGTGAACAAGCATTCGCAACCTTGAACGTAGAGAACGTACAGCAGAGCCAAGATACTGTTATTAAGAAAACTCAGCTCTGATTATTTGACACATTCAGTTTTGCAGGATGCTGACTCTAATTAGTTCAATGATAATTCAGTTAAAAAAGAATGTCATTATTGAAGTCCACTAAAGGAGGTTGTGCCTTCCCATTTATGGCTCCTAAACTCTGAAATAGTCTTCCTGTTAATGTCAGTGGCTCAGACACACTCTCTGTCAGTTTAAAACAAGATTAAAGACCTATGTTTATAGTAAATCATACACGCAATGCATACTGTAACTGTAGGATGTGTGAGTGTGCTCCATGCAGGTGAGTGGGTTTGACAAACCACCAATAGGACACACTCTTTCTGTCTACAAATACAAGCCACTTTGTTAGAAATACTTCTATGTTTTGTGTTTTTATATAACTACTATTTTTATTTTTAGCACTTAATTTTCACAATAACATTTAATATCTATTCAAATACATTATGAATAGCAGATATGCTAATTATTTATTTTGTTCTTTATTTCCACCTGGGGATGCCCATCCTGATGCACCATTCACACAGGGCGTCAGTGTCAACACTTCCCATTCACTTTGAATGGGTGATGTCAGGAGTTGCCGAATTGCATTGTGGATCCGTCAGCACCGCTTCAGTGGTGTTCCTCGCTGCAGAAGTTGGAAATTTCTTTATTTTTCAAGCGCCAACGAGCGCATCAGCCAATCAGATTGCTTTATAAAAATACACCAGCTCAGACAGTAGTCCATTGTGGACTAATTTCATTGGCTGACGCTGGTATGACGATTGCGTCAGCCCCAATTTCAGAGACGTCTTCTGTCAAGCGTTGACGCTGAAGCCCCATGTGAATCGGGCGTAAAGCCTTTAGAGATGTGCAGTGCCGCATGATAAAATCCAAGACCAATGAAGAGATGATGCTAACCATCGAGGACTTTGTTATCAAAAAATACACCTAATACACAAATACACCCCATTAAACATGTACATATGGACATCACTCATATACTGTATAACTGCAGGTTAACTATGTTTATATATAATAAATTTAACTGTTTAAAGCTACTAGTTCCTAGCTAATTAGTTAAAGTTATGGTAACTAATAATCTTAACTTTCATAAATTTTGTAAAGCTGTTTCAAAACAATAATTATTAGGAAAAGCGCTACACAATTTGACCTGAATTAAATTAAATTAAATAAAACGGAACTGTATTGAATTGAAGGACAGCATTACCAAAAAGGATTAGAAAAACAAAACATTGGAGAAATCGGACTGGGGACCAGGTTTGCTTTTTAAAACTTACAGTTTGCAGTTTTTGGCTTATTGAACAGGCCCATGCCAGTATTTACAGAAACTATGATTATAATATTTTTGCACAATCATCTGGTGTACAAAAACAGTACATTACAGCACCTACCATGATCTCCAAGACATTTTTGGGTGCAGGAGCAACAGGAGGAACTTCAGCCTCTGGCACAGCAATATTAGCCTTCCTAATTTCCCTCAGCAGATACCCTACAGGTGCAGGAAACAAAGAAGCTGATGTTTAAAAGCAGACCAATCACAGCAGAAGAGCTCAACTCAGAGCAGTCTGTCATAACGAAAAAGAATAGTGCTTGTTTCTTGCCTCACTCCAGAAAATAATACAATAAACTCTAGAAAAATGAAAGTTATGCTACTTTTGAGCTTCCAAAGCACATTTAAGTAAAACAAATGGAATATATATATCAAACTATAGAAAAGTTGTACCCTAACAATTATAACTATAAGATAGATTGCACCATAAATTGCTGGAAAACATTCACATCCACATAAACTATAAATCTGCCATTTTATGGACTACAGATCCAGTCATGCAACACACAAACACACACACTCACCTGCTCCAAGTCACCATTGGTTAGACACTCACAGCTGAAGCTGCATTTGGACTGACTATAAATACAGCACACTAACAAACAGTTGTTGCTGATTCTTGTTATACTTTTAGTGACATTACAACGCATTTCCTTTGCCTTGCTTTGCCGTGTTTTGATCCTCGCCTTGTTTATCTGTTTATTCCTGTCTGCTGCCTGCCTTCTGACCATCTACCTGTGTATTTGACTACGACTCTGGATTGCCTGAGTACATCTGTTTGCCCCTGTGTTGACCATGGCTTACCTGACCTTTAAACCTGCATTTGGATCCGCACCCCTGTTGTCAGCGTCACATCACTGTTACAGTAATATATTCTGTGTATATCTAATATGAATATATAAATACACACATGTAGATAATATTTAAAGAATAAAACAATATACATACTGATGTGTATTTATATTACAGGTTAGAGCTGTCTCCCTTTGAACTCTGCTCCTCATAACCTCATAACAACACTCCCCATAAACACTGCATTGTTTATTTAATATTTAATATTTGCACAATTAAAATTTACACATATTTATCGCACTACATTGCACTACTTCATCTTGAATTGTACAAACCCACTGTACAAATTTGTAATTAGGTTTATACCAATCTGCATACCTCTGATTATTAATAGCAACTAGTACATGTATGTTTGTCAATTGTTAATCTCCGTTCACAGCTAATTCAACCTGTATATAAAGTTCATAGTACATCCATCTGTAAATATCACTATAGTTTTTCTATAACTGCACTTTATAACTTATCTATTTCCTGCACTTGCTGCTATTGCACTCCTGGTTAGACCTGAATTGCATTCCGTTGCTTTGTATTTGTACATGTGTAATGACAATAAATTTAAATCTATATACATAAACAAACATACACAAACACATATATTATGTAAAGACAAACTCTTTATTTTGGTTGCCATTAATCTTCATCAATCGTTTGACAGCGTTAGAAAATAGGGCTCAATATAGATGTCTTACCCAGAATCCTCTCCATCTCCTCACATCTCTTGATTTCACTGACGAATCGGCGCTGGAAGGAGCTGACGCTGGGGTTGAGCTGCAAGATTATGATCAAATATTACAATCTAAATACAAGCAGACATGGCTGTGGGCACTGCAGTAATCCAATGAGACTTCAAACTAAAGCATTGGGCAATATGCATTATATCAAGTTAATCAGGCTAAATAAAATGGTTAAGTTCATTCATGAATCTGATCGATTGACGCTTAAAAAACATATGACATATGAAGAGATTTACATATATCACAAAATAAATATACTACATTTACAGAAACTATAAGCAATTAGGTTGCTGGTTTGAGTCCCTGCTGGGTCAGTTGGCATTTCTGTGTGGAGTTTGCCTATTCTCCCCGTGTTGGCGTAGGTTTCCTTCAGGTTCTCCAGTTTCCCCTACAGTCCAAAGACATGCGCTTTAGGTGAATTGGATAAGCTAAATTGGCTGTAGTGAATGTGTGTGATGTTTCCCGGTACTAGTTTGTTGCTGGAAGGGCATTCACTGTGTAAAACATGTGCTGCAAAAGTTGGCAGTTCATTCCGCTTTGGCGAACCCTGATGAATAAAGGGACTAAGTCAAAGGAAATTTAATAAATAAATTACACAAACTATCAGAAAAATCAGAGACTTTTGACGTAATATTTTTAAAAGTAAGAATCTTTTACATCATGTTACACAAGATTTAGGATAAGATAATTGCTCTAAATATATTTCTTATTCTTAAAATATATTATGTTTCTCTTCAGCATTGCTTTTTATATAAATTTTAGTTATATTTAGTTACTTCACCTTACTTTTTAGTTACTTTTCCATTTATTTTAAACTAACAGACAAATTTATTTATTTATTTAAACAAATAAAGCTGCATAAAGCTCACTCACTCACTACTCTTCGGCCTAGTGCCTGATTAATCAGGGGTCACCACTGCCAAATGAACTGCCCATTATTCTGGCATATATTTGTTGCAGCGGATGCCCTTCCAGTCGCAACCCAGCACTGGGAAACACCTATACACACTCATTCACACACACATTCCTACACTATGGCCAATTTAGTTTATTCACTTCACCTATAGCGCATGTGTTTGGACTGTGGGGAAAACCGGAGCGCCCGGAGGAAACCCACGTAAACACAAGGAGAACAAGAATACTCCACACAGCAATGGCATTTGACCCAGCCGGGGCTCGAACCAGTGACCTGTTTGCTGTGAGGTGACATTGCTAACTACTGAGCCACCGCACCGCCCAATTGGTCATAATACCAAATGCTTTTATCAAAGTTATTCCTCCAAGTATTTATATTTATTATTTGACTTTTGAAAGAATTTAAATTTGTACTTTGTTTCGCTTAAATAGATTTTTTATTCTTTTGACCATTTTAAGGTCTGAATGACAATTCTATCTCATATTTAGAAGATATGTTGTCGGTAGTTTGTAAAACAAGACATAACATTCTCACACACGTTGCTGAGTCGTGTTTGTTGTAAAGTGTTCTATTTTCTAGCATTGGAGTGTCTATTGTTCATGCCCTTTGATGCCTGCACCAACCTCTTTGCATGTGACCGACTACCCTTTTGGATTGCTCTTATGTTATCATTTGCTGCTACTTGGATTGTTTATGTGTGCTCAGTTTAATAAAGACACTACACGGTGGATCCTCAACTCTGTTGTCAGAATCGCTTTGTAAAACAAACACTCTCTCTCAAACACACAATCATACACTATGGCCAATTTCGTTAACCCAATTCCTGCATATCATCAAAATATTTTAATCATTCATGAACTTTTCTTTGGCTTAGTTTCTTTATTCATCAGGGGTCGCCAAAGTGGAAAGAAACCACCAGCTTGTCCAGCATATGTTTTACATACATATTACCAGCTGCAACATCCATACACACTCCCTGTATGCCTATGGACTGTGGGGGAAACCGGAGAACCTGGAGGAAAACCATGCCAACACGAGGAAAACATGCAGACTTCACACAAAATTGTCAACTGACCCAGCGGGGTTGCAAACCAGCAACCTTCTTGCTGTGAGGGGACAGTACTAACTACTGTGCCACTTAGTTGCCCCAAAATTATTTAATGAATAAATAAACCTGAACAAATTTGAAATGTCAACCACCCTTACTATTGGCAATCGGTAGGGCACACACATCTGTGACCAACATTTTCCCTATATTCATGCTTGTGTTAATGTCATACAACCTCAGGCTGAATAGAAAACACAGGCTTTTAACCAGCCTTGCCTTTTTTGAAGCAAGTAATTGATTCAACTCATCAGCCTTAACCAGGACATTAAACTAGCTGACACACATCGGCTTCCCTCTGTTTCCAGTCTAAATGTACTTACTTAACATGCACCTCAAAACACATTTAAAGGGACAGTTCACCCAAAATAAATATTCTGCCTTAATTTACTCTTGAATTTCTCCAAACCTGTTTGAGTTTTTTGTTGTTGTTGTTGTTCTGGTAAACACAAAAGAATATATGTATGAAGAATGTCAGAAACCTGTAACCACTGACTTGATTTTTTTTTTCAATGGATGTCAATGGTTACCGGCTTTTAACATTCTTCTAAATATATTTTTTGTGTTCAAAAGAAAAAAAAAACAACAATTGTAAATGGTTTGGAACAAGCTGTAATTTTTGTGTGAACTGTCCTTTTAATGAAATCCTTTTCACACCTATATAGTTAGCACATTTGGGCTGTACATGATTAATTTTTGCAGTAAATTCCCTTGTATATAGGCGATGGAGTGGCGCAGTAGGTAGTGTTGTTGCCTCATTGCAAGAAGGTCGCTGGTTCGAGCCTCGGCTGGGTCAGTTGGCGTTTCTGTGTAGAGTTTGCATGTTCTTTCTGCGTTTGCATGGGTTTCCTCTAGGTGCTCCGGTTTTCCCCCACAGTCCATAGACATTTGGTACAGGTGAATTTTGGAAGGCTAAATTATCCATAGTGTATGAGTGTAAATGAGTGTGTGTGTGTGTGTGGATGTTTCCCAGAGATGGGTTGCAGCTGGAAGGCATCCGCTGTGTAAAAAATGGACTGGATTAGTTGGTGGTTCATTCCGCTGTGACGACCCCAGATTATTAAAAAGACTAAGCCGACAAGAAAATGAATGAATGAATTCCCTTGTATGCTGTTTTATGTATAATTCTGTTCTCCCCTGTTTAATCAATAAAAAAACACATATGCCAAATAATGTTGATTCACTTAAATCAAAATGTGAGAATCCAGGTGGTGGATCTCAATCTACCTACACAGCATTTTTGGCATCAGGTGACTTGCATATGATGCCCCAGATATGCTGTTTTGATTGGCAAGCCAATTTAACATTTACGACATTACTGTAACACATTATTCACCTTATTCTCCGTCGATGAGCGGGCGCTGCCATTTGAATCTTTTTGGCTTGAGACTTCCGGTCTCATTCACTTACATTCATTTTTTGACGTTAAAAACTGCTCATTACGCTGCTTGATGTTGCAATTTGATATTTTCTTGTAATATTATTCTACTTGGTCTGTATAGTCATGCAAAAATTTGTTTGTAGAGCAAGTAGTTTTTCTGCCGTTTATTATTCCTAGTCATTTCTCCCATAGGCGACTGAATCAGAAGTTCTAAGACAATCGCGAAAACAGGCGCACTTCCGCATTTTAGAATAAGGTCAAAAGTATCTTATGCTACCATTAGTACATATTCATTACATATTAGCATGTTTTCTTTAGCTGCTAGACAAGTGTTTATTATTTACGTATTCATTCTTATTTATCAGATACCGATACTCAAACATTAGATACTTAGGATAACTGTCATGGCTCATTTTCACTGAATAGTATGGTTCAAGTTGCGAATGGTAGCAAAATAGCCCACCATACCACTTTTTAGGGAAAAAAAGTAAGATATCCAAAGTCATAAACCATACCTATAGAGTGATGTTGATTGCAACTTTCTGGTGTGCACCACATATAGCATGAAAGGGTGGTATTAGCAGAGGGAATGTAAGCCTGATCATTGTTTTTCATACTACATTGTACTGGGCTGAACTAAACTGAACCGAACTGCTCAGTGGAAATGAGCCATAAAACATTTAATAGCAATTAGTCAGTCAGTATACATGTATTTTATACTAAAGCCTATTTAATGAATGTTAATAGTTAATTTAGTTGGTTCTAGTAAATATTTTATGGTTGCAAGTCACATGACAAAGCCATTGTGATATCAACTCAAAGCATAACATCTAAAAATACGGAGAAGCAACTTATTAGCCACATATTAGTACCTAATGAATAAGAAATAGTATCTAATTTACATATACTAGTATGTAATTATATGTACTAAATAATATGTAAATAAATAAATAAGTACCAGAACAAAATAAATAACTGCTTGCTAATAAAAACTCAAAGCTGGAATAGACAAGTCAAAAATAGTTGATCCCTCAATAACAGGAATCATCAGAAGTCAATGACAATTTTATTAAATTTGTTAGTCGTAACTTTTACGTCTGTGATGGGAAATGATGAAATGGAGATCCAAATGCAGTCTAGTGCGTTTATTGTGAAGTGAAGAAAATCAGGAATGATATCATATTGAAAAAACATGACAAACAAAAACAAGCTAAAGAATAGCAAAACCAAACCTGGGCACACACAGACATCATGACTAAGAAAACTACTGACATTTTGGGCTGACAGAATCAGATATAAATACACAAAGAAACAACTAACTAAAGCTGACACAATTAATAACCAAGACAAGCAATAAAGAACAAAGGAGAACTAATGTGGAGTGTGACATGAATAATCCAAACTATAACAAAACACAGACGGGGTTTCACTAACAATAGCATTACTAGTAGGGCCAAACAGAATCTTTGGACATTTTTTGCTATTTCTACGCAGAATTGTGTTAAAAATCTGCGGATTTATGATGAATAATTTTGGGAGTATCATAACTAAAACCTTAATATAAGAAATAAAAAGTAATACCTTTTTATTTTTTATTTAATGTTTACAATGCAAATCCATTTAGATCCATTTTATTTGGTAAACAAAGCAAGTCTCTCATATAATATCTCTACTAAAAGACAGAAAATATTACTTTAAAAACTGTATTGTAAATAAATCATATGAATATTTTCATATTAGTCAATAATATTCCTGTAATTAATTGAAAAACTGAATAAATATACATTTACACAAGTAAATAAACAGAATCAATGAAGGGCAAAAATCTGCGGAATTGAGCGTGCACAGATTCTGTGTGGGCCTAATGACTAATGAAATAACTATTAGTAATGAAAAAGCACTGATATCTACTAGTAGTGTCTAATGAATAAACACTGTTGTGTAATAAATTAGTTAGCTAATTTGAATGGGGTAGAAGTCACCACCAATGAAAGTTCTGTCATCTTATAACCTCCTTTTATTTTTCCACAAACCTGTTTGAGTTTCATTCTTTGTGGAACCGAATAGAAGATATTTCGAAGAAAGCTGGAAACCTCTAACCATTTCCTTTTCCTACTATGGATGTCAACAATTACAGGTGTTCAGCTTTCTTTTGAATACAAAGGTTTTAATCACACTCATACACTACGGCCAATTTAGCTTATTCAATTTACCTATACCGCAAGTCTTTGGACTGTAGGGGAAGCCACGCCAACACAGGGAGAATATGCAAACTCCACACAGAAATGCCAAAAGACACAGCCGAAACTCGAAGCAGCGACCTTCTTGCTGTGAGGAGTCAAGACTAACCACTGAGCCATCGTATTGCCAAAACCAGCATCTACTGTAAAATTAAATAAGCTCATAAAAAGGGCAGGTTCTGTTGTGGGGTCTGCACTACCTACCATAGAAGAGATTGCACAGGATCGAATGCTGGACAAATTTGTTAGTATAATGAACCACGATAGTCATCCCCTTTATGATACAGTTCAAGCGTGTGCAAGCTCTTTTAGTACAAGATTAATTCAACCCCGGTGCTACAGAGAAAGATACAGGAAGTCTTTTTTACCAACAGTGATCAGATTGTATAACCAAAGTCATACCAGATGAATTGTGCTGAACTTGAATTAGATATTGGATATGTACAAGTGTTTACTCGTTGTTTTTGGAACCAAGGTGTGAAGTATGAATGTAATCTTATTATTGTTTTTATATGTATGTAACTTATTTATCTATTTTTAGTATGGAGAGCTCTGCTGTGACATGTGAATTTCCCTCCGGGGATTAATAAAGTCAAACTAACTAACTAACTAACTAAACATAGATACTAGCATCTATTAAAGAAGCACTGGTAGTTTTTTAAAACTAAAGCATAAGCTCCAACAGCTAATAATAAACAAGTTAATGGAAAATGTATAGGCCTATCTCTGAAAAAAAAAAAAAAAAAAAAAACACGGTTTAGATTGAGTGTTACTACGTCTTGCCATAGTAGTCTAGTTTTGAATGCTCTTGAGTGCAAACTTACATCTCGAAATTCGACCAGTCCCATCTCCCCCAGCTCGCTGATGCAGGCGTACGCCGAGCCGGACTGCAGGAACAGCTGCGCCAAGCACATCTCCTCACTCCGAAACCCCGAGCCCATCTTCCCTCTCCTCTCCCGGACACCCGGATCACCCAATCCGCCTCTGGCCTTCGAGATTCACTCCGACACAGCACGAGCAACCTGCCTCATCAAGTGTGCGACACAAGCCGCATTCAACATCCGCGCATTAAGACTAAAGTTGACCTGCTGAAGCGTGCATTAAAGATGCATGCCTAAATAAACCGGGCTTAAACTGCACCGAAAACGATTAACCCACAAATCCTATTTTTAGCAACCTACTTAGTATTCTTAGCATGCTCGTGTAAATTGTGACTGTATTATAAAAATGAACTGCTGGTTTAATATTCGCGTAGTCTTACCTCTAGCTGGCTGGACAATAATAATCGATAGGCGTCTGTACCTTTAATTGCCGCCTTGCCATTGAAACGACAGAAATAGCGCAGGATTTATAGAGATGATGAAGAAGTGTTGACGAACCAACACCTTAACGCTATTCTAGCCTTGAAAACGTGCCTGTATAAAAGATGCCTTATGTTTAAGTTAATCGCATAAAAAGATCACTCCCGTTATGCACGAGCTCTGCCGGTGTTACAGATTGCGCCCAAGGGTTGCCAAGTACTTTGTTAGAAACGCCCCCTTTCATATGTTTAACTTAGAAAGCGATCACTTGTGATTGTGGATGTATGTCATACATAGACTGTGTAGAACTGTAAAAGTGTGCCTAAATTAATCTAAATAAATTTACAGCCTCGTGTATTTACAGTGTATAATTATAGCTATCAATTCTTCAGCTTTTAGGTATCTTTTACGCCTTAATCAGTTGTACTACTTATAAAATATTTTACATGACAAGAACAATTCTACAAACTGGGTGGCGCGGTGGGTAGGACGTTTGACTCGCAGCAAGAAGGTCGCTGGTTTGAGTTCCTGCGGAGTCAGTTGGCATTTCTGTGTGGAGTTTGCATATTCTCCCCGTGTTCGTGTGGGTTTCATCCGGGTGCTTCAGTTTCCCCCACAGTCCAAAGGCATGTGGAACAGGTGAATTGGGTGTGCTAAAATTGACCGTAGTGTATGAGTGTGTGTGGATGTTTCCAGGGATGGGTTGTGGCTGGAAGGGCATCCACTGCGTAAAACAAATGCTGGATAAATTGGAGGTTCATTCTGCTGTGGTAACCCCAGATTAGTAAAGGGACTAAGCTGGAAAAAAAAAGAATGCTACAAACCTATAGCAATCTCATATGATGCAAATATTTTAGCTGTTTAAAGGTTCACTTAGTTTCTTTGTAATAAAAAAATAAATACAAATTAATAATGTAAAAATAGCTTTAAATGCTAGAAATGTAAATTAGTACATGTATATGGCAACAATAATATTCAAATGTATGTACACTTCTGATTTCTTGAGTGCTTAGAAAGCAGAAACAAGGTTTTTTTTTATCTGCAATCTGGCAACCACATCAGTATTTAATATATTCTGTGCCGTATTCTTCCAGACCACGGGCAGACCATCTGCCTGTCCTTTGTTTAAAAGCCTGAAAATCAGCAGATTTCAAGCGCAAAACAAATCTGTATAGTTCTCAAATAATAACTAACTAAATGTATTAATTAATTAATTAATTAATAATTAGGTAGTAATAACGATGTAATGGCCCTGATGTGACAGTGACATCATTCAGCCTAGTCCTCACCTCATTGTGCATTCATATAGTTCAACACAAATGAATTGACACTATTCATTTTCAGAAAAGCAAAGTAACTTTTCTTTTTTTAAAAGCAAACCCAGAACTCAACAATAAAAGATGCAAATAATTTATTTTGAAAAAATGTTGGAAACTGGCAGCAACTAACTTTAGTATTTTCTTTTTCCCACCAGTTCCCAATAGTCTTCAAAATACATTCTTTTGTGTTTAACCATCCCTAATAATGTGCAAAAATAATTTACAAATGATAAAACTAATATTTTACCCACAGGCCACTTTATTAGGTCCAACTGCTTGTTAACACAAACCTCTGAGCAGTCAATCATATGCCAACAACTTAATGTATTTAGGCATGTAGACATGGTCAAGATGATCTGATGCAGTTCAAATCGAGCATCAGAATGGGGAATTTAAGTGCCTTAACAGATTTAAGTGACGTTAAACATGGCATGGTTGTTGTGCCAGAAAGGCTGGTCTGAGTATTTCCGAAACTGCTGATCTACTGGGATTTTTATGCACAACCATCTCTAGGGTTTACAGAGAATGGTCTGAAAAAGAGAAAATATCCAGTGAGTGGCAGTTCTGTTGGCGCAAAAGCCTTATTGTGATGCCAGAGGTCAGAAAAGAAAAGGGACTGGTCTGAGCTGATAGAAAGACAACAGTAACTCAAATTACAACTCGTTACAACCGAGTTATGCAGAAGAGCATCCCTGAACGCACAACACGTCCAACCTTGAGGTGGATGAACTACAGCAGCAGAAGACCACACCGGTTGTCACTCCTGTCAGCTAACGACAAGAAACTGAGAATACAATTCGCACAGGCTCACCAAAATTGGACAATAGAAGATTGGAAAAGTTGTCTGGTCTGATATGTCTCTATGATTGCTGCAACATTCGGATGGTAGGGTCAGAATTTGGCATCAAGAAAATGAAAGCATGTATCCATCCTGCCTTGCATCAACGGTTCAGGCTGCTGGTGGTGTGGGGGATATTTTCTTGGCACACGTTGGGCCCATTAGTACCAATTGAGCATCGTGTCAACAACACAGCCTACCCGAGTATCGTTGCTGACCATGTACACCCCTTCATGACCACAGCATACCCATCTTCTGATGACTACCTCTATCAGGATAACTGCATGATTCTATCATGTCAATATGGACTAAAATCTCTGAGGAATATTTCCAGTACCTTGATAAATCTATGCCATGAAGGACTAAGGCAGTTCTGAATGCAAAAAGGGGTCCAACCCAGTACTAGTAAGGTGTACCTAATAAAATGGCCAATGCGTGTAGAGCCATCAAGTCACTGGATCATTCAATCAAATAATTATACATTACATAATTTAAATAATGATAATAACCTTTGTTTATGAACAAATAACAAAAACACTGTCGTTCTCGATTCATCCAGAAATCTAAAATGTAGGTCAACATTCTTTCTTTGGTGAGTTTTTATAAACACCTGTGTTTTAAATGTATAATCAACAACAATAAAAATCATTTTAATGATTTAACACAAACTTTTGACAATACCCAGCTCAATCACAATGTTATTAGAGCCACCCCCAGTAATACATTACTTGAAATTTTTATTAAAATAAATCAAATAAAGAAAATCCTCCTCATTCAGATTTTTAAACTTGTACAACAGGGGTGCTCAATCCTGTTCCTGGAGATCTACCTTCCTGCAGATTTCAGTTGCTACCCATATCAAAGGCTGTTTCTCAATTCCAAGAACGCAGAGAACGGATTTGCGTTCTTGTGGAGACCGGTCTTGCCAGGTGTCCTCGGAAGAACGAACTCAGGAGACCGCGAGGGCAGAGAATGCGTCCTTTGAGAAATTGGATGCTGCGTTCTTTCTGGTGGTCATGTGACCTGCACGCATTTTAAATAATTTACTATTTAAACATTACAGCATTCATACAACGATTTATTGTTTCCCCCCTCTTCAAAATATATACTTTGCATAAAAACATTATAAATATACTCTGCACAATATAAATAAAACAAATTTGAATACGAATTTCAGCAAACAAACAACCCTTAATGTGTTTATTCCTTTATAAAGATGTCCATGTTAATGTTTACTTTCACAGTGTCATTTAGGGAAACTCCTGAGGTAAATAAATGATATCTCTGAACTTTAATAATAAATCTAAATAAAATGCTGCGCTTCCCACCTCCAGTCGCAATGACTTCTGGGACTTCCAGAGCGAGTTCGCCGCTCAAGTCTGTATCAGTGCGTCCTTGATATCAAGAACACATCCGGGAAGTTTCACGCGTCCTCCGTACTTGCGGTCTTGAGTATTGGAACTGAACTAGGCAGCTGATGACGACGTTGCACGAGAACACGAGGACGCAAGACCGCTGAAGAACGCATATTGAGAAACAGCCAAACACACCTGCCTGTAGTTATCAAGTGTGTTCAGTTCCTAATTAATTGGTTCAGGTGTGTTTGATATGGGTAGCAACTGAAATCTGCAGGAAGGTGGCTCTCCAGGAACAGGATTGAGCACCCCTGTTGTACAGTATGTAAGATGATTTTTGAACATTTAAAAGCACAATTAGTAGTAGCTGCTTTATTAAAATAGGGGTGGCAGAGGAGAATTTTTATTTTAAAAAAACTTTCCCCCCAAGTAATAAACCACTGAAAAAATAAATGAATAAAATACATCCTCCTCTGCCGCCCCTATTTCAACAAAGCAACCACTACTAATTTTTGCATTTGAACGGTCAAAAAAAAAAAATCGAACATACAGTACAAACATAAAAATCAAACAAACGGAGAGCTGTGCATCATCTGAGGCTCTGTGCGAGTCTGTTGAGCTCCTGTGAGAGTCCAGTAACCGTGTCCAGAATCTTTTTCCTATCCGAATCCAGCAGTCGACCTCCACAGCGCTGGGCAAACTTGTCCGGATGCCAGAGCGCCTGCTGTCGACGGAGAATCTTCCGGAAAGCTGGCAAATCAGCCCGATTGGCTCCATGCAACATAACGGCCACCATTTCATCCAACGACCCCCGAGGTGCAGGCCAAGGGATGTCCTCGTATGCCAGCAGGCCTTCCTGACCCTTGCTGGATGAGCCGTGAAAGGTGGCAGTGCAGCGCTCCTCGTAACGCCTCTTCCTTCCCTGCCGCGTCTCTTCCTCTTTTCGAGCTGCTCTCTGCAGGTACTCCTGATGCTCGCGCTCCAGTCTGGCATTTAGCTCTTTTCGGCTCCTCTCGTCCTCTTCCGTCTCCTTCGGCCTTTTGGATTTCTTGTGTCCAGAAGAAGATGCTTCTCTCTGTTCTCGGCTTCGCTGCTTGCTGAAATACTCTCTTCGGATACGATCGGCCCAGTCTCCGAATTCTTCCTCATCTTTGTCATCCCATAAGTGGTCATCTGGGGAGAACAGTACACAGTCAGAATTATTAGACGTCCTGAATTATTAGCACAACAACTTTTGTTTAACAGAAAGAAGATTTTTTTTCAACACATTTCTAAACATAATAGTTTTGATAACTCATTTCTAATAACTGATTTATTTTATCTTTGCCAGGATGAAAGAACATATTATTAGAATAGATATTTTTAAGACACTTCTGTACAGCTTAAAGTGACATTTAGGGTGCTTTCACACCTGTGAATCGATTCAGTTGTTCTGAAACAGAGATTACAATTGTTACATTGTTGCTCTTTGCTCTTGGTGCGGTTCGCTTTCACACTGCAAAGTTTCTAATCGGACCAAAAGAGCTAAAACAAGTCACGTGCGAGTAAACTCTCCTTACATTGGTCAGAGTGTCAGGGTTTATTTTGCAGCGTCCCGCTAAACTGTTAGGAGAGGTGGTGGTTTGATGGTGATTGACAGGGTGCTCGCGCGCGACGTGTCTGAGGAGAGACATGGTAGGGAGGGGTGAGAAGGGTGCGCGACGATGCCTATTTGAGGACCGGGAGGGAGACGCGAGATTACCGGGAGATCATCACTCGTTTGCGGGCATCCGGAGACTCGCGAAACTTCCCACCATACTCATAATTCTCTCTCCATATAGCCGTATATGCCTATTACATATCCATAAAACACAGTGATACAACCGCGCTCGGATCGGATCGCTTTCTCACTACAATCGAACCGCTCCAGGGTTCGTTTCAATCGAGCCAAGACCCCCTCATTCAAGCGATCTCGGAGCGATTACTTTGGCGCGGAACAGAGCGCGATTGCCCTGTTCACATATGTCAAACGAACCGCGCTAACTGGGCAAACGAGATACGTTCCGAAACAAAAGTGTAGGTGTGAAAGCACCCTTATTTTTTCAGAAAAAAATATAGCTTAAGGGGGATAATAATAATAATAATAATGTTTATTATTAAAACTGCTTTTATTCTTGCCAAAATAAAACAAATAAAACTTTCTCCAGAAGAAAAACATATTATTAGACATACTGTGAAAAATTCCTTGCTCTGTTAAACATCATTTAGGAAATATTTTTAAAAAATAAAATAAAAATAACAGGAGGGCTAATACTTTGGTCTTCAACTGTATAAGCTTTTGATATTAATTATATTTGATTTAAAATTTATTTAAAAACAATTTGAACATTGATGTAAATAACAAACAATAATGACAAATGAACTAGAACAGAATTTACAATAACCCCTGCCAAATTAAAATTAAACCCCTGCCATTAAAAATGGGTCTTCTCTTTAAAAAATAAATATACAATATATACAGCATATTTATTTATTTTTTTAAAATGTTTTTTCACCTTTAAATGTGATAAGACAGTGGAGATTTTTGAAACAGGAAAGTATGAGGAGGATAGGGGAAGGGTCGGCAAAGGACCTCGAGCTGGGAATCGAACTGGGGTCGCTGTGAACCCCTCAGTGCCATATGTCGACGCACTTAACCCAAGGCTATTGGCGCAGACACAGCAAATAAATTAAGAAATACAAACAAAAAGTAACAATAGTCACACTTGTTATACACAACCAGTGATATCAATGCATACATCAGAAATAAAAGTGAAGATTTACAACAAGTCATTTTGATGAGACTTTTGATGTAGATTGCTCACTTTTGCTCAATTCTGGCTTTACAAGAAAACCTGCCAAAGTCAATTGCATGAATATGTGAGACTACATATTATAGAGATGACTTTTTGTTAAATAAACATTTAAATTTAATAATGTCCTGCTGATTCCCAGGGATGGGGCTGGAAGGGCATCCGCTGCGTAAAACATATGCTGGATAAGTTGGCGGTTCATTCCGCTGTGGTGACCCCAGATTAATAAAGGGACTAAGCCAAAAAGAAAATGAATGAATGTCCTGCTGCTGATTTTCATCAGATCGTGTTTGATCAATTCAACATTTTTTGTATATAGGTAGGTACTGTGAATTCATTTTTATGTTTACCCTAATACATAATTCTACACATTTTAATAGTTCAAATTATTTATTGTAACTACAGCTGTCAACATTTGAAGTGGATCAAAAGCATCAATAAAACAAGAATCTGTGTTATTCACTAGTTTTTGGTCAACTTTGAAAATCCACTTTAAGTCTTGACTACCGTACACTGAAAATTATTTCTGCAAAATTGTTGCAAACAATTTATGTGTTGAATTTAAACAAACAAATACAATTTAGTAATATTCAACTGTATTTGTTAGTTTAAATTCAGCTCAAATAAATTGTTAAAATCATTTAACTCAAAATTAGTTAATTTATTAAACCATTGTTATATTTTACACTGAAATAGGAACAATATTGTACTTTTCGTTAACTGTTATATCTTCACATTTACTTTATAGATCACTCTAAAATCTGGCATAACTAGCTATGCTAACATGCTAATACATCAAATATAATAGTAACTGTACAAGATGCAACAGAAAATACAACACTTGCCATCAAACTGTCCGAATGTCTCAAAAAACTCATCCTGGCATTCTCCTAAAAGCTTCTCTCTCCATTGTTGCTCAGTATCAACGTGTGAGGATTCATCTTTGGTATTCCCCTGTTTCAAGTACAAAAATAAAACCTCAAATTGCAAGAAAAAACATGATATTTTGCCCAAAACGAAAATTCTCCCTGCTGAAAAATCCAGCTTAAACCAGCCTAGGCTGGTTGGCTGGTTTTAGCTGATCAACCAGGCTGGTTTTAGAGGGGTTTTGGCCACTTCCAGGCTGGTTTCCAGCCATTTCCAGCCTGGTCTTAGCTAGTTAGGCTGGAAAATGACCAGCTAAAACCAGCTTGACCAGCCTGGTTTAAGCTGGATATAGCTGGTTTTGGCTGGACTCCCAGCTTGGCTAGGCTGGTCAAGCTGGTTTTAGCTGGTCATCTCCCAGCCTGACCAGCTAAGACCAGGCTGGAAATGGCTGGAAACCAGCCTGGAAGTGGCCAAAACCCCTCTAAAACCAGCCTGGTCGACCAGCTAAAACCAGCCAACCAGCTTAGGCTGATTTAAGCTGGATTTTTCAGCAGGGAGCTGTCATCATTTACTCACTCTACACTTCTTTCTTATATTTATATAATAATAAATCCAATACATTTTTGTAAAATGTTGGTACCAAATGGTCCCCACTGACAATGTGATAGTATTTTACCTACTATGGAAGTCAGAGAGGGAACATCAACAACTTGATTACGAACATCAGGATATCTCTGTTTGTGTCCAACAAAATAAAACAAATTAAGAATATGAAGTTGAGGCTGAGTAAAGGTTAAGACCATTTTCATATTTGGGTGAACTTTCCATTTGATAAACAAATTAAATATATTTCAGTTTAGTGAGTCACTATTATCACAGCACCTGCTCGGGCTTCTTCATCCACTGGAGCAGGTCATGAGGAGTCACTCCTGCTTTATTAGATATATCCATCGATTGTGGACAGTTCTTCCGCAGTGGCACCACCAGGTCATCATAAGCTGTAATTAATAATATGAAAATCATGAAAAAAGTTTAAACTGGAGATCAGTTTATTGATGTCACAGTCTCGCACCTCTTTTGCCATGTTTGAGGGCTCTTTTCACAGCCACATGTAACGGCGTGTCTCCGTTTCTGTCTGTTTGCAGCGGGTCTGCTCCGTGTTTCAGCAGCAGCCTGAGGATCGCATCATCCCCGTGGGAACAGGTAACGTGCAGCGGGCTTCTGCGCTTCTTCCCTTTGGTGAAGTTCAGCTCCAGATCCTTGTGTTTACGGAGGAATGATTTCAGCTTCATCAGACTGCCCTCCTCCACGTAGCGCATAACTTTCTTTTGCTTTCTTTTCTCCATTAGCTCTCGTTAAAAAGACACGCGGATAATAAATTCTAGACGACATTGTTCACGTATTCGACTTGAATGCCACATTTCATCGTGATATGACATTTCAATGGCTTAAACACGGACGTAAACAAATGTAGCACATCATTGGAGTGCGTCTGAAAATTAGTTCCGTTCCGGATTGGAAACCCAACTGTTAAATCGTGTGCCGCACGCTTCTTAAGTGATGCTCCCAGCGCTTAGATCGCTCCCTGGTGGCTGGCTGCAGTACAAGTCATAAAGCATAAAGCATCATTTACCGTTAGCTTTTTATTTTAAAACACCTAATAAACATTCAATTGAATTTATATTCCTCTTTGCCAGATATAATAAGGCATCGAATAAACCGGTTTAAATGAACGAGGATGCAAAAATAATAACAAACAATATACAAGCAATGTTGCAGTATGATGGACATCAGTTGATACTGCAAAGTTTATTGTTCAAATTGATAAGTATTAGGCATTTATTGGGAAATGGCGCTGTTGTGTTCGTCCATATTTTTTACATTACATTGTGTTCAATGCACAATTTTAGGGCGCACTTACACTATGCTATCCGAACCGTGCCCAGGCCGTTTACCGGATCATTTGAGAAGTGTGAGTGCTCTGAATCGGGCTCAGGCACAGTTCACTTGGTTGGCCCTTGCCCGGTTGGAAAAGGTGGGCCTCAGCGTGGTTCACTCGGGCTTTGGCGCGGTATACGCTTGTGTGTGAGTGCAAAATGCGCCAAAGCCCGAAACAGAAAGCGAGACGAGACTTTTAAGGGACTGTTTCATGTGGATTTATTAATAATTCTTACTGTTCAATGAACGCAAACTGTCGTAGTTTATTAAAGACGCAGACACCTCACTGCACGACTGCTGCGCACCTTCAGCAAACCTCCTCATTCCTGCAGCATGAGGGCTTTATGATTGTTTATGAGCGTCAAATGTGGCGGATCTGTTCGGCGAAATATCTGACTGCGTGTCTCTGCATCCCTAAGGACTGTTTGGCGAAATATTTGACTGCATGTCACTGCATAACAAACGACTGAAATTATATAACTAGAGAAATCTCCACTGTGCTTAGCGAGAGCGCTCACTGCACAGCGCAGCATCGATGACGTAAGCGTGCCCAGTCCCGATTGTAATGTTAGTGCGGGCCGTCGGGGGAGAGGGGAGGGGGGACAAGCGTGCTTTGGCCCGGTTCAAGGCAACTGTACATAGTGTGAGTACGGCCTTAGGCTGCAGTTTCAGGGCCCTGTCCCCTTGTCGAGGACCCCTTATACTCATACCTCACCCCTACCCCTCAATCCAACCTTCACAAAAACAAACAGTTAAGTATAAATGTGGAGGGTAAGCCTTATATTCAAATACTTGTATTGTTCACCCCTACAGAACAGATCAATGAAAACAGGGGTAAAACTAGGGTCTTAAAATGTGGTCCTAGAAATGCTTTCATGTCTCTCCTGTTGTGCAGACTACATACAAAGACTATGGAAAGGGACTTTGCTACACATCAGGAATGAATACACATGTGGAGTCTCTCTAATCTGTATAATCTGGCCAATTCTCAGGGTGAGTTCCATTCAGAAGGGCTCATCATGAGCCCTAATGCCTTCGGAAGATCCCTCTGAAGAGATTAGACTAGAGCAGGGGTGTCAAACTCAATTCCTGGAGGGCCGAAGCCCTGCAAAGTTTAGTTCCAACCCTGCTCCAACACACTTACCTGTAGGTTTCAAACAAGCCTGAAGGACTCAATTAGTTTGATCAGGTGTGTTTAATTAGGGTTGGAACTAAACTGTGCAGAGCTGCGGCCCTTTTGGAACTGAGTTTGTCACCTGTGGACTAGAGCATGAGGATGAGCCCTCCCAAATTGAGTAGCCTACAATGTGACACCAAACAACTTCCTTGCTCAAAAAAAAATCATGGCCTAAATTGTCTAAACTACTAGCTAAACTAAAAGTTGCATAATTATAATTTTGTTATATCCTTCATTCCAAAGGGCCCTTTAGAGTCTTCAGTTTTGAGCACTTCGGTTTGGAATAACACTGCAATACGGTGGCCATGATTTTTTCACTTTAAAGTACCCTTTAAAGGGTGATATCCTGTTTACAACGCACCGTCAAATGTCTATTAGATATATTTATAAATATAGGTATACCTAACAGAGCTGTTCCCTCTAGTCCAGTGGTCACCAAACTTGTTCCTGGAGGGCCGGTGTCCTGCAGATTTTAGTCCCAACCCTATTTAAACACACCTGAACAAGCTAATCAAGGTCTTACTGGGTATACTTGAAACATCCAGGCAGGTGTGTTGAGGCAAGATGGAGCTAAACCCTGCAGGGACACCAGCCCTCCAGGACCAGGATTGGTGACCCCTGCTCTAGTCTGACCCCTGCAATAGCGCTGTCAATAGGCAAAGTTTACGGACTGCAGCTTTTAACCTGCAGAGTCAATTTTGATTTCACAAGAACTTCAAGAAATTATCAATAATAATTTCTATAATAATAATAAATTGCCTACTATTACTCATATAGCATTTTTGTTTAATAAAAATTTAAACTAGACTGTTTGGCAAAAGCAAGCCCAAACAGTTTAGCTTTTACCCTAACTAAACATTGGATCAAATGAATTGAAACCCTTCAGATTTGTTTGAAACCTACAGGGAAGTGTTCTAATAAAGCAGGCTTGGAACTAACTTCTGCAGGTGTAACAGGTAGGGAAAGTATTCTTATCTTTATTTATATAAATACTCATCATGTGTTTTACTTGAAATATGTATACCAGAAGTGCTTACTGTGTGCATCTTCTCCTTTAAATTTCTAAGGAATCTTACATTTTTTAATTTCCCATTTAGCACCCCCATCTTCCCTTTCTGCACATCGGAGAGGTGGGTGTCTGCCTGCCAAGCTTTATTCATTCATTTTCTTTTTGGCATTTATTAATCTGGGGTCGCCACAGTGGAATGAACCACCAATTTATTTGGCATACGTTTTACACAGCAAATGTCTTTCCAGCTGCAACCCATCACTGAAAAACACCCATACACTCATTCACACTACAGACAATTTAGCATACCAGATTTGGACTTATAAGGGAAACTGAAGCACCAAAGGAAACCCACGCAAACACAAGGAGAACATGTAGACTTCACACAGAAATGCCAACTGACCCAGCAGAGACTCAAACCAGTGACCTTCTTTCTGTGAGGTAATCACTGCACCACTGTGCTGCCCTAGATAAGTTTACTTGCATTAACGATGAAAACCAGATTTAACTTAAGCTGATCTTCTAAACAGTAAAGTCTATGTAGCCTTGGTCAAAAAAAAAAAAAAAAAAAATAGATAAATAAATTTCTTGCTGAGTGGAAGACGGTGTTCATTTTGTCTGGTTTAAATCCTTACTAATAGCACTAAAAGAAAAAAAGGGATATGACCACCAGAAGTGACAAATTCATTCACTATACAAGGTCAAGAGATCTGAAGAAAATACACAAAAAAATGTGACAGATAATACACTTTAGTAATGTTGGAAACCACAGAACCGAAGAGTGTAAGATTAAGCTTTTATTTGTCTGTTAATGATTTCTTTAGGGTTTTTTTTTTTAGTGGTTTCTAGTGATTAAGATTATAGAGTACATTTACGGATGGAGCCATCAACACAGACAACCCACAGCACTCCCAGGTCAAAGGAAACGTGTTTGTGACCAATGGGACAGGCAATCATTGAGATCCAGTCTGTGCCAGCAGGGTTAGACCGACTCACACCAACTCTGCAGCAGACAAAGAATGGGTTTCATCAACAGGTAGAAAATAATCCTTGACAAAAATGTCATGTTATGATGTGTTTGAACTGTTCAGCTGACCTTTGGAATAGTTTTGCTTCATAGTTGACACCAAAGACACTGCCATCTGTTCCCACTTCAATCATGGACAGAAGTCCAGGAATATTTACAAAAGTCCCATCCCCAGAACAGGCATTACTGGACACACCCTGTAAGGAGAGGGGGGGGGGGGGAGGAAGAAAAAAAAAAAAAAAAAAAAAAAAAAACATAAGTTTTGTTTGTCTTTGCAAAATGATACCATTTAACACTGTGACATTACCTTCATGATAAAGATACGGTCAGCAGAGTTCACACCCCAGCAGCTGTAAGGGCCACAGCTGTAATACTTCAGCTTTCCATTAAGGGTAACCCAAGGAGTGGTGCTGGATGGCCATTGGTTGTTAGCATCCATGTTCAAACAAAAGATGTCATCATTCATATTGACGCCTGCAATAATCTGATCACCTCCAGCATCCACCTGCTTCAAAAGACCTTTATATATATAAAAAAAAGCTAATATTAAAAAAAAAAAAATTCACTTTACCAGAGATACATTTTAATTATTGGGAATTTTTAATATACCTGGAAACTGAACAAATCTGCCACTTATCAATTTGAAGATGTAGTAGGTTCCATTCACTCCCAGCTGACCAGCAGGACCAACACTGAAGTGCTTTAGAGATCTGCTGACCGGATTGAAGACATCATCTTGCAGCACAAACGCTTGATTTAGATCGTTCACTCCAACCACTGAACCAGACCCAGCGTCAATCTGCTTCAGGTTACCACTCATTATAGTACAGTCTAAAGCTGCAAAACCCACACAAAATAGATATAGAGCCTTTACAATATTTAAGACCATTATAAAAATAAAACAAACTAAAAAAAGGCATTTACCCCGAGTGTAAAGGATTTGGCAACTCAAGAACAGCAGAACACTTTGATAAACCTTCATTGCTCCACAATACATTTTTGTTTGGACCTGTTCTTAACCAAAAATCAAGTACATAAGTCAATTCAAAGTAAAGACAGCCTCAGAAACACAATGACAGTAATTATTTGAACATAACCTTGTCTTGTCTTGTTTGAGCAGGATTCAACAGTCAAAGTGATAACATCAACAGCAGCACTGAAGAAACACATCGCAGCTGTCTGTTTTTTATTTAAACATCCAGCCAATCAGGCGTAAAAGCAAACTGTCAACCAACCATGAAACTGCGCAACATCAGTCAACAAGATTAAGCACAGGTGAAGCCATCAATCAGCCAATGAACAATCAGGATGAACATTAGCTGAACTATAGTGTTGTATACAAAACGGCACCCTTTTTTCATTCACTCTGCCCTACTACGTTAGTCAACTAAAATAGACCAGTTGAAGGAGTGAGTTAATTCAAGCACTCAGTACACTGGAACGGATGCTGTTTTGTTTGTGCATCACTAACACAGATTAGATTTTCAACTATTGGTCAGACCCTGTGATAGTTATTTAACAGTAGCGAGCTGTCTATTAGCAATGAAACAAAGACTGTTAATTTTTGTCATGTGTGTTACTGTAATTAAATAATATTGTATTTATAAAATATGCCAGAGGTGTCCAAACTCACTTCCTGGAGTGCCTCAGTCCTGCACAGTTTAATAGACTTAAGCTGCAGTCACACTAGAATTTGTGTTGCGAAATTCTGTCATACAGTGCTGCGAAAAGTGGTGGAATTAAACAAGATAATTAGACATTTTAAAAAAAGCTAGCGATTGGTCCATATTTTAAATTTTTGTCCAGAGAGGTCATGTTTTGATCCTCAATTGGTCTCACAGTCAAGTGATGCAATTTCGCAGGCAAATTTATGACACTTTTTTTTCCTATCACACATTAAAGTTAAATTTTATTTGAAGTTATAGTATACACAGCAATCTCTGGGCTTGCTGCATAACAAATACCAAAATTTTAACAATTTATAAAAAAATGAATCACTTTCTGGAAAAAGTTTTGTTTTCCCTTGTGTGGCAGAACATGTTTGGATGGAATTTGGGAAGCACTGCTTTTAAGTTTGAGTGATTAAAATCCCCAGCAACAATAAAAGCAGTCTGTGGGTGAGCAGTCTGTTATTTGCTGATGGCTGCATGAAGTTCATTCATAGCAAGCTTGGCATCAGCATCGGGAAGAATATAAGCAGCAGTTATAATGGTGGAGGTGAACTCCCGTGGCAGATAAAATGATCCACATGGTTAAAAATGGTTAAAATTCACTATTTGAGGGTATAAGGGTAACTTAGGATACAGCCTACACTGTTAAAAATGTCTGTGATTTTAACAGTAATGTAAAATCTACAGTGAAAACCTGTTAAATGATTTACGGCTCATTTCTGTACAAAATACAGAAAATAGCTGTAACAGATCTAACATTTGTTTTTGAGAAACTAATCAGAGTGTCTGAAATCTCACTGTACACCCTCATTTACTAGTCCATAAATTAGTCAATTAGTTTAGTCCACTAGACAGAGTGAATGACCACAAATAAGGGAATTCAGACACTGATGAACAGCTGCTGTTAACAAGCACAATCACTGAATAATAGAGCAACAGACACCCCCTTACACCGAACCAGCTGAATTAAAACAGAGGATTAAACACCTCCATTAAATAACAGCATTAGCAGCTTCACTGACTACAGTTTGACTTAATTTCTGTCATATCTGCAGGAATATTTGATAATTAACAGAGGTTTATAATTTTATAGAATATATTTCATTTGACCTCATCGTTGACCTGGAGATCAAAGGTTGCTTTAGTTGGGCTCTTCAATCGTTACTCCTCTAGCTTAATGTGTCTCTGGCTGATATAACTGTGTTTCTAAAACTCATCATTTATTCATTGTTACAGATATAATTTCTAGTATTTTAGAAGTTAAGCCATAGAAAATAGCTTTTATTTGATACTGTTTGGAATATGCTACAGCTTCCCAGCAAACAATTATCAAGGAATTAATACGTAAATAAAATGTATTAGTTTCATGCACAAAACCTTGAGATCTCCAGCTGTACTTAATGACACCAAGACATCAAGAATCAGGATATGAACCTCAACCAGGGTTGCCAAAAAAAGCTGCTTAATTTACATGCAGTTAAAAAGCATGAATTGCAGCATGAATGTAATATGCAGCTTAAAGTTTTTACAATCTCTTTCTTTTCCCTTATTGTATGTTGTTTTTGGCAGGTAATATTTCAGTAGAGTGCTTTGTTTTTTTCTGGGTTGATTTTTATATGATTTTTATTATTTTTTTGTCACCATTCTTGAGATTCAAAGACTAATAGTTGTTGTCTGTGTGTTTTTAAGTTCTGCCATAGATCAAACATTTCATTGTGAACAGTGTATTTAGAAGTATAAAGTCAATGACTGCTGTAGGCCAAGTGGTGTCATTTACATATGGTATTCATATCTGCACAAGCAGGTGAGGGTGGTTTCAGTATCATAGTTAATCTTATCAGATTTACTGTTGAATTTTTCTTTTGGCTTTTCATGTTATACATATAGCGTGATTAACACATTTAATTATAGCAACCAAATTATAATCTAATGTCAGAACAAAGTTGAAGATCCTGACTAAAGCAGACCCTGTCCTCCATCATGGTGACTTCAAATGAACAACAGAAATTTCATTAAGAGCTTTTGTTCACGTGACAGAAATAAAGTCAAAGGTCAGTAATAAGTATCCCCTGATGTTTGTGGAGTTTAATGATCTCTGCTGAGATCTTGAGAGATAAAAGTTTTATTGTGTAATTAGTTTTATTTTTATTAATTATAATTTTATTTAGAGTTTTATTTTGAGTTGATTTCATATTTGTTTTTTGTTTTTTGGCTGTAATTTGTGTTTTTCTTTCCTTCAGTGATTCTGCTTGTTAACAGTTGTTCATCAAGAATTCTCAATCCTCCTTTAATTAGACACTTAATTATCTCATTAACTTCATCACTGTCTGAGTGTTCAGCCCTCTGTAGTGAGGACATTAGTGAGGATTTTGCTCTGGAATTTGAGGGGTTAAATATGTTCGATTAAAAATAAAGACTGTGGAATGTATGTTTAACAGAAATAGTCTGTAAACTGAATTTATAAATGTAAAATGATGAAAACAGTAGATTACTGGCAACCACAACTGCCTATATTTTCCCCATAAAATAAAAAAAAAAACAGCAAAATACTGTAAAAAAAATGTTGTCTCACCATCGTGGAGGATAGTAGCATCTGTGTGCAAGTCCAAGACAAACTAATAATATTTGATGTTGTGCTGCGTCTTCTTTTGTTTAAAGGTAACTGTGTAGTTACTAATGCAGTGAAAATCTGTTTGCTAAATGTAAATACACATGAACCCATTAATGCATTTAATGACGTTATGTTTTTATGCACTGAGCTAATTTTTTTGTGAACTGAACATTGTATCAGGTTATAAAATACGGTTATTTTCCATAAATTTTAACAGTTCTATAAATTGTACTTTTTACGGAAAAAGTCTGGCAACCACAGCTGCTGGCAGTGATGGTGAAATGAAGCTTTCTAAACCAGTAAAGAGCTCGACTCAATTGCATCGGAAAAATGTCGTTACTCGAAGCTTTCTAAATCAGAGCTTGATGAGGACCTCTTCTGGTGAAAGTGTAGGAAAGCACTGTGTTGCAATATTGTCAAATGTTGTAATACAACAACAGTAATATAAACAAATTACTTAATTAATGTAGTTTTTACTCATAAGGTATGTTACATTACACCACTGATGACTAGTAAAATCCAAACTATTCAAAAGTATTTACATTTGACAACTAGTCCCGTTCCAAACGGGGATCAAACCAGCGATTCCTGCATGGGAGGGGATTGCTCTAGGAGGAGAGTACGTGAGAGATGATTTGGGATTGCACTCACCAGCTGGTCTCCGTCAAACACTATATTACGAAGTGCAGTGGTTTTCTTTAAAAAATGTTGTAAAAAATACACTAATAATACACTTTAGTATGGTTGAAAACCTTTTTACCATAAATTACTATTGTATTTTAGTTTAATAACTGGTGTGTGGGACCGGCGCAGTGCTTGGAAACAGTAGAAATGTATGTAATCGTTGTTTTTCCCGTAAATTTAACATTTTTTTTTTTTTTACATACCCAAGTTCCAGGCTTGAGACAAAATAAAGGCAGTGATACAGTTCAGCGTTTGAGAAAGCAGATGGAGTTTAAAGACTGTAAACAAGGACATAAAGCAAAACCCTCTTCTTTTTAAGCTGTAGTTTGAAATGCTTTTAATTTAGGCCAGACTCCACTTACTTCAGGTAACCTCAGACTAATACATGTTAAGGTTATGAGACCAAAAGTGTTAAGGTTATAAGACCAAAGTAAAACAACGAAACCAATAAACAAAATTAAAATTCAGACATTTATGAAAAAACACATAAATATGGATCAATAAAGTTATACCATGAAAAAATAACTACAACTATTGGTCAAAAAATGACTTAACACATTAACCTCTGATAGTGCAATTAAAAAAATCCCAGTGTTTATTTGCTCAACTTGTGATGAGGATGTAGTTCATAAAATGGCTAAATACAACCTTATGCCAGATGTTTATCTACGTAACCTACATCAATACTCGAAAACAATGTTAAGTAATAGTTTAAGGTAGCCATGTTACACAATTGGTTCATATACAGAGGGAGAATTTATGTTGAAAAATGGTGTATGTATTACACCACTCCAAAGTTACAGTAATTGTGCAGTTAATACTAATATTGTATTTTTAGATAGTTTTGAAATATTTGGTTCTGTCCCCACAATGTTACAACAATATATAACTTAAGTCATATTGAGCTATTAAGATTTTGTTTGCATCGAAAAGTAAATAATAATTTTTTGGAATATAAAATACAGAAGATATTTTCTTATAATATTTGAAAGCTTAAAATTATATATTTATAAGTGCATCTGTGTATATATAATATATATATGCGCGTGTTTGTGTCTGAGAATAGAGAAACAAAACAGCAAAGGCATCAGTATAAAGCATGGCTATCATTTATTTTGACTAGTGCAGCTACAGTCATATTAAATATTGTTGGTTTCATAAGACTATAGATGAATTATATTCTGTAGAATTTATAATTTGAACCATTAAAAAGCACTTCAAGACCTGATTTAACTGAAACTGATGTTCAAAACAGAGTTTCTTGCGGAGTGGAAGTACATTTCATCTTGTTTAAAATCCTTACTAATACCTGTAAAAGAATCTAATATACGGCCACCAGAAGTGACAGAATTATTCACTACACAAATGTGACACCAATAATACACTTTAGTAATGTTTGAGACAACAGATAGAACAGGACCGAAAACAGCGCAAGATTAAACTTTTATTTGTCTGTTAATGATTTTAGGATTTCCATTATGAAGGGATTCAGATTATAGAGTACATTTACGGATGGAGCCATCAACACAGACAACCCACAGCACACCCAGGTCAAAGGAAACG